AAGTCATAAATTTTACAATAGGAATTTACTATACGAAATTGACCTTATTATGTAATGATTGCATGTTTAAACATGTTATTTGAACATTATTTGTACGTTAAGTTAATGCTTGTTTTTGTTTACAATACAACTTACGAATATTTAATATTATATCAAATAAAATTATGTTTAAATTATAAACAAATAATGATTTTTCGAATAATATATGGTCAAATAACATTTTTTTACATACATTTTATGGAAATTGTGTTTTCATAGGGATGCTTCACTAATATTATAATCTACTTTCATTAAAATTAAGATACAAGTAAATTTAACCTTGCTGAATAATTTTACTTAAGCATAAAAGAGTAGTTTCATTTGAATAAAGTGATGAACTTACATTTTAAAGTTGGAAATAGAAAAGTAAAATTCAAAAATTAGTATTCAATTAAAAAATGCAACTTATCTACAAATATTGTACCTACACTTATGAAAATCTAAATTACAAGTAATTTCGACCTCATTGAACAACTTTACTTAAGCACAAAAGGGTAATTTCATTTGGTGAAAGTGGTGAAATTACGCTCTGAAGTTTAAAACAGAAAAATGAAAATTTTGAAAACCAGTACTATTATAAAAAATCATGATTTCCTCTATAATTATCATACCTATGCATATGAAATAAGTATAATTTAACATTGCTGGACAACTTTGCTTCATAAAAGATAGCTTCATTTGGCCAAAGTGGTGAGATTATGTGTGAAATTACGCTTCAAAACTAGAAAATAAAAATACAAAAGTAAAAGAAGAAATTAAAGTACTATATATTATATAAAATATTATAAATTTACAAGAACAAGTAATAAAAACTGAGTTAAAAGAGTTTATTATGTGTTAGTTTGTACTTTTGAAAAAAAAGGGAAAAAAGGGGGAAAAGATTTTTTTTACAGCTATCACGTAAACAATAAACAAATAAACAAATAAGGGAATCACGTGATATCAGTGACAATCATTTGAATTTTGATCTTAATAAAATTAATTGCCAATCCGCCACTTAACGATACAAAATTGATTAGTAGATCCGTCGCAAGTTCTTATATGAATGACGTCGATCGGCACATTTCAACTCTGATTTTGTCCTACATAAGTCATGCTTAATGTAACCATACTTTACCAATCAATAATGCAAAACGTGAATATGTCACAAAAAAAAAATTTTTTTTCGTTTGCTATAAAATTTAAAGAGTTTACTTTGGAGGAAGTCACCATTCCAGCTCATATTTTAGGTAACTTTACACCAATTATTCGCGAATTTTGCAAATTTTACAAGGTTTTTTTGTATTATTATTATACTTTTCGTCAAAATGACAAAATACTAATTAAATTTATTTTGACAGACGTAATGTATTTTGACAGACGTAATTAATTCATAGTAATTTTATAATAAATAGTGAATTGGTCCGTTCGCCGAAATACGACATAATTAATTAGCGGAGAAGTATAATTATTATATAATATATGGTATATTCTTGCTTAAATTAACAAAATAATGTTTAAAAAAAAAATAAAATAAAATAAATTTTTTTTTTTTTTTGGCAATGTTTTAGTTTTACCAGTTTTATAAACACACGTCAAATGATCAAAAATAGGCAAAAAAAATGGTGCAAATCGCATAAACTATTCGCAAATTTGTATAAACTATTTACAAATAGTATAGGTTAATTCGTAAATAGCCAAAAACAGCCAAGAATAGCCAAGAATAGCCAAGAATAGCCAAGAATAGCCACTGCTTTTCGCGCCATTTTTTTTGCCGATTTTTAGCATTTCGACCTGTGAAAACTATACCTAAGTAATGTAACATCCTTTTTTAATGTATTTTTAGGGCATTTATATTACAACAAAACATTTTCAAACTTGTGCAAATACTAAAGCTCTAATCGGGTCGGTTCTAATCCAGCAACCCAGACCGAAAATTCAGATTGGTCCAGTCTGGGTTGATGCTTCAACCCGGACCAAAATATTTGATCCGGCCCGGTCCGGTTTCAGATTATAAATCTAACCTGGACTGAAAAAACGGGTTGGGACTGGACCGGACCAATAAATATTTTCGCATTAAAACCGTAGTGATTATTTAATTATTAAATAAAAAAATGTTGCGTAACGTTTTTTTTAACATATTATTATAAAAAAAATGTTTGCGCAACGTTTTTTAATTACTTTAAAGAAAAAACGTTGCGCAACATTTTTTCTAAGTATATTTATTAAAAAAAACGTTTGTGCAATGTTTTTTTAATTAGTTTAAAGAAAAAACGTTGCAAAACGTTTTTTCTTATCATATTTAATTAGAAAAAACGTTTGCACAATATTTTTCTAATTAGTTTAAAGAAAAAATGTTGCGAAACGTTTTTTCTTATCATATTTAATTAGAAAAATGTTTGCGCAACGTTTTTCTAATTAATTTAATGAAAAAATGTAGCGAAACATTTTTTCTAAGTATATTTATTAAAAAAATGTTTGCGCAACGTTTTTCTAATTAATTTAAAGAAAAAATGTTGCGCAAGTTTTTTCTAAGTATATTTATTAGAAAAAACGTTTGCGCAATGTTTTTCTAATTAGTTTAAAGAAAAAATGTTGCGAAACGTTTTTTCTTATCATATTTAATTAGAAAAAATGTTTGCGCAACGTTTTTCTAATTAATTTAACGAAAAAACGTTGCAAAACGTTTTTTCTAAGTATATTTAATTAGAAAAAACGTTTGCACAATGTTTCCTAATTAATTTAACGAAAAAATGTTGCGAAATGTTTTTCTAATTAATTTAACAAAAAAACGTTGCGAAACATTTTTTCTAAGTATATTTAATTAGAAAAAACGTTTTCGCAACATTTTTCTAATTAACTTAACGAAAAAATGTTGCGAAATGTTTTTTCTAAGTAATTATAACTAAAAAACGTTTTCGCAATGTTTTTTTATTATAGGACCAGATCGGACTGGACCAAAATAACTGGTCCGGTCCGGTTTGGTCCCAGATTCTCCTTTTAATATAAACTGGACCGGACCGAAATGAACTAATTTTTTGGTCCGGTTCTGGGTTACTCTCCAACCCGGACCAATCTGGACCATTTAGAGCTTTAGCAAATACCATTCAGAAGCAATAGTATTTAATATAAAAATGTCTGACGAGATTAATTATAGATTGCCGATCATTTTGTATTGCTGAGTGGCGAATTGGCAATTAATGTTTATGTAAAGCGAAAAAATCAACTGCACGTGGTACAGTAATTCTATAAAATTAATTTTTTTATTGTTCAACCATTAATTATTGAATATAGTAGAGGAAAAAGTTGTGAGATATTTTGCTAACTGTCAGTTATATACACTACATTCTCGTTAAATATGGTGGATGATCAAAAAAATTCAGACGAATTCTGGACAATCAAAAATATCAAATTCCAGATGATCAAAATTCCTTGGACATTTTCCAGACATATTCTGTACATTCAAAAAATTCCGGACATTTTTTTTGGGCAAATTCCAGATGATCACAAATTCTGGACATTTTTCTAGACAAATTCCGGACAATCAAACATTCAGAAAATTGGTTTTCGTCCTAAATCCTGCAATATCTGGACAATTTCCGGACATTTTCTGGATGCACCCAGACATTTTTAGATACAATTTCCGGACATTTCTTTTTTATAGGATCTTTGTTATCAACTCTTACAATCTCATCATCAATTTTTATTATATTTAATAATAAAAATCTTGATTCAGGTATAAATTTCCATGCATTGTTTCCTAATCTTTTTAAGTAAGATTCATCTGACTTTGACTTTTTTCCTAAAAAGTTTAAAAATTTTTTAAAATTTTTTTTTAAAGATTCTTTAATATTTTGTAATAGAATTTGTTTATTTTTTGGACCATATACTAAAAAATAAATAAAATAAGTTAATTTATAAAATAATTTAATAAAATAATAAAATATTACTTACTTTGTAAAATGACATTTTCATCAATATAATTTTGACATAATCGAGTATTAATAATTAAAATTATTAGGAAAAATAATACGAGTGTAACTAAATATATATATATAAAAAAGTTTAGTACAAATTATTTAATCAATTAATAATAAGAATTTAAATAAAAATTTATGTACTTATAAATATCTCTACTCTAAATGCACTTGTAAAAGTATCTAAAAATTATCAGATAATAATAATTTAATATTTAAATCATTTGAGAAAAAAAAAGATAAAACTTTTTTAACTATCGTTACCATTAATATTATTACTAAGAATAATAGATGGATAATTATAACCAATTAACATTACAAATAATAATACTATTTCAATTATAATTGCAAGATAAAATAAAACATAAAGTTTTTTTGAACATTTTTGTATCACTAAGAAAACATTTGAAATTAGAATAATTACAATAACACTATATATTTCAGTAATTTTAACAAGTATCTTCTTGGAAGTTATATTTATAAGAATCCCAAGTACAAATAATGATATTGATAACGCAATTCCACTAAATGGAACTGTAATTATAAGCAATATCCTCTCAAGTTGATAAATAATATTGATATCTAGTAAAAAAAATAGATTAATATGTTGATAATGAAATTAAAGAGAATAATTTTAACTTACTTCTCTGATTATCACTCAATTTAGATTCCCTAATCCACTTCCAAGATCTAATAAATAAATTTATGATAATAATAATTTAGTTTATAATAAAAATAATAAGAATATAAAATAATTGTTAATAATTACCCAAACAATAAAACACAAATTATTATAAGGGTAAATTGAAATGTTCCTAAAATTATCACCAAAGGAGTATATTCACGTATATAATATTTTGATGAAATTTCATTTATTTCATCCTTAGCTTTGTTTATCATTTCGTTTTTATTATCAGGGTCGATAGTGTTGTTTAAGTTTAATTTATTAATTTCTCCTATATATTTACTAACCGTTCCATTGCTTAATTTAATTAAAATTTGACTACCAAATTCTTATCATAATTTATTTAAAGACGTAAAGTCAAAATTAAATGAACTATTTACAAAATACAATTAATAATATTTACGCATAAGTAATTCTTAAAAAAATATTTACCTAAAAAATAATCAAATTTGAAAATATTACAAAGCGCTATTCCAATTGGAGCTAAATTTACAATTAAAAATGCAATAAAATGCAATATAGTTTTATAAAAGATTGCAGATAATCCAGTAAAAAGAACGAATGGAACTGTGATCCATAATGATGATGTCGAAGTTATTCGGAATTTAATATAAAAAGGGTAAATAATAAGAAGAACAGTTTCGGAAATAATTATAAAAATCAATAGAAAATTTAATATTCTTAAATTTTTAACGCTTAACATGTTTATTCCTTCGGCATGGAAATTAGTTAACGTGTGAATTGTATTTATTATCTGTTTAATCTGTTTATATAGGTAATATCATATCTGGCTGAAGCTGGATATATTCATTTTTATCCGAATAAATATTGATTACCAAATATGATTCTGATTCGACGGGTTAAAACTCGTTGCATTTAAATAATCAATTTGAGTCAAATAACTCGAATCTATTTGACCAGTTTGAAAGGCTAGCAAATAAATCAAACCAGATTAATTGTAATTTCGATTATAATAATTAAATTTTTAATTAAATAGATGTAATCAATGTTTTAGGAAAAAAGCCACAAAAAATGCACAGCCCCGATCTATAAAAAAAATTTATATAATCCAATTCGGATTGCGTAACTATCCGCGAAACTTAGCCGCATTCCTGAGCCGGTGATCGTCAATCAAGAATTCGAACTGGACGATCATCAATAATACATAATATTATTTTTTTTTGACTAAATTCAAAATGATTTTCCCAGAAGCTAAATCATCAACTGAACCTTCTTCTTTTATTTTTTTTTTAAAAAATTATGCTCTCTTTCACTTATAATTGTACTTCTTATTTATACTTATAGTCAGTTTTCAAAATTTTCTATTTCGACTACTGAGCCTAACCTAATTTCCAGTATAAAACATGCAAATTTCGGCAAAATTGTTATTAGAATTTGTAGTTTAATTCCTATAAATTGTAATTACTCTTCTAATATTTTATCTGTTAATTATAATTATATTGACTTTAATTCAAGTCAATGCGAAACAACTGTGTCTATTATAAATAATTATGTTCCTCATATTTGTAATAATGGTGGTGAAAGTTATTACTATAATTTTGACTATCAGATGGAGAATAGAATAGTAATAACCCCTAACATCACTGAAGCTTATTTAGATGGATTTAAAATAGATAAAGTTTATCCATCATCTTCTAGCTTTAATTTGGTTTCTATTATTCCTTTATTTATTGTAAATGAACAGGCCGCAATCGTATATTATTCACCTATAATCAACAAACGTATATTTAGCAAGTATGTTTACGGTCTTGTGGGAGGATTGGAAGAAGAATTCGTTGACTTTAATGCACATACTGATCATATAACAAATTTATCAGCCCCAAATACAACAATGCTTATATTAAGACCAGTATCAAAGGATATTTTTTATCGAGAGGAATCTTATTATGATCGTAACTATCAACTTTTTTTTTAATTTTCAGTTAAAATAAAATATTAAAAATCTTTATTCCTATTTTTCTCTTTAGTTGCCTCAATTTTATCAAGAATCGGTGGATTCTTTAGTTTTTTGTCAGGAATCTTTATATTTTTATTTGGAGCAACTAAGTTAGCGCCATGGTAAGTTAAAATAATAATTTTTATACAATTCGTAATTATAGATTAGTATTCATAATATTTTATTTCTTTTGATAGGGGATTTTTACAAACATATGTGTTTAGTTACTTATGTACAGAATATCAAAGAAAACTTTTAAGGAAGCTCAAAAATAAATATGAACCAATTCTATTCATTAGTGGAAGGACCAAAGATGTTACATTGGAAGAACGTGTTCAAAATATGGAAAATATGCTTAAAGAATATTATATTAATACTGATTTTTTGAATTTATTAGTAGAAAACAATAATAAAGTCAATGATAAAGCCGATAATAAAGTTTAGATAGTGTGATTGTATACCGTATAAATTAGTTTTACAAGTTTACATAATCATTATTAGGTAGTTAGTATAACATTATTAAATGTCTGTAACAATAAATACATTTGTGGTTAAGCGTTATTTTATTTTGTTAATACGTAAATTTTTATCTAGCAAACCAATAAATTTCCTTTAGTAATTATGATAGACATTAATACTAAAAATCTGAGTTTGGAAGTTGTTCAGGAAGAGAAGGATATTACCTCATTACGCAATTTTTTTTAAAAAAACACTGCCGATCCTCGAATTAAATTAAATTGATATACTGTAAGTGTACGGGAAACGCTTTGTTTTGTTAACTACACTGTAAAATTTATCGATTATGACAAAAAGGGTTAATTTGGTTTATTATAAACATATAGGAACTTTCATTCTCATAAATTTCATGTATGTAACGAAATTTTATTTAGAACTTGGAACCAGTCCAAAAAGTTTTAATTATCTTCACAGACTATACTTATCCAATTATTTAAACGAATCGATTCTGTGGAGTTCAATATCTTAATAGCTGGATTGTCTGAAGCGTAAAGCGTAGGACACAGTCAAAGCCTCTGCATTGCAAAACCAATCAGAATGCTTGATTTACTCTATTAACCACGTGATTTTTTAAAACTTTACTGCGGGTAGTAATCTGATATGCTAATTAAATTTATGCGGATATCTAGTCAACTCTATTAAGTCTTTAGTGCAATTTAACCTGGATCCAATTTTCTATGTTATACTCTTTACAGTATTCTTATTTCATGTAAAAATTGTTTTTATACATCTCAAAATATGACTCAGCTTATTTTATGGTAAATCACAATTATATTTATTTAAATACATTTTGATATATTAAACAACAAGCTAAGTAATAAATGAATATAATTAGTGGTGGGTCAAAAGGAGACCTGACCCATAAAGTAAGAATTCCTTCACTATTCCGCATTGCTATCTAAGTTCTCGTTAATTTTAAAACTGATTCCACCTAATATAATACTATAACCATCCTTCTTAATATTTTAGTTAACAAATTTCCATTGCTGCATAGAGACATATCTCTTCCAAGGTGAATCTTTTTTGGCTCTAATTCGATCGAAAATTTGCTTGAACTAGTAGTCCAAGCAGTTAAGTTTACCTTTGAAAAATATTAAACCCGAGTCTGAACTCTGTAAGAGAAATATATTGGTGAGATTAATAAAAAGGCATGAGCTATTAATAAATTATTTTTTACTTTGCCTTTACCAAAAGAACTGAACTTTCGAAAGAAGAGCTTGCGTATGATTGGTTTGATGCTTCAGATTGGTTGGCCACATACTGTTGATCGAATTCATCAGATTCAACTAGCCGATAATTGCGTAACGCTCATGTTGATTGCCGTAAGTGAAAATTATTATATATTGAATTACAACCTTTAGCTGTTGTAATATTATAAACATAAGCTTTAAATTGGCTGTAAATACTACACTATTGTGGTTAGCAAAAAAGATGGTAATTCTAATTTACAACCATTATATTATTCATTGCAGCAGGGCTTCTTCGATAGTATTAAGTTTTGGGTCACATAATTGACCATTGATAAAATTTTTTTCGCCTTTGTGAGACTGTGACATAGGTAATAGTTATTTCACAGAGTCACTGGAATATCATGATTTTCACGGCTGCGCCATAAAAATCATTGATTCCCGTCAAATAACTACTTATGAGTTATGATTGCTGAATTCCGCAGTTAAATCAGCATTAGTTTTTGAATCATGTGCATAAAGATCATTGGTTATTTTTGACATGGGAAGACTATGTAATTATCATGTGACGGCAGCAGAATCCAATACCACAAACTTGAAATGTATAAGAAACTATGATAGAAGGTTTTGTCGTACGGGAAATAAGAAGTCAAGAACTAATTTCATTTAAATCCAGCTTGTTTCTATAACACTAAGGGGGTTCCAAAGAACTTGAACCCATTTCATTGGAAACAATCACGTAATGTGCGAGGATGAAAAAAAAGATCAGGATATTATTCTTAATTAATTCTTTGATATTTATTGTAACAATAAGATAATTCTTTGCTAAGAATTTTATCATCCTTTTTATCTTAATAAAATTTATGGATTTATAAAATGGTATTAAGAAAATATTTTATTGTTTTTTTTTTTTTCACTGATCTCTGTCTATATAAATAAAAGTAAATTATTCCTTAAACTTAAATTAACACTTTTAATAAAATGGCATTAAAAAAAAAGGTAATCAACTTATATATTATACATGTAATATATTGTAATATCATTTTTTTTTTTAAAGTAATAATGTTATTATGACTCTGGTGATAAGGAAAAAAAGTTTAATCATTTAATCATTTCATCATTCATGTAAGTTAAATTTATCACAAAATATAGTTTGTTTATTTTTTTATTTCATATAAACTATATAAACTGACTACTGACCGAAAAAGTTAATTAAAAGTTTATCAATAATATAATTTTTATTAGTCAAGAGTATACAATATGTTATAATTGTGATATTTGTGTCATAGTTATAAATTGGTACAATATTACAATAACTCAAAAATAGTTTATCACTATAACTATTTTATATATAATGATACTTTATATACTCATTATGACACTTTTTTTCTCATTATGATTATATTTCTAACATATAATAAATAGCACGAAAAAATTAGAAAAAGTTAAAAGATAATTTCCAAAGATAATTTATAAAAATTTTATAATGAATATATTAAATTAATTAAAGGCACAATAAACTAAAAATGCCTGGAATTCAAGAAGAGCAATACCAATATTTACAAGAACTTTCCAACAAAATCACAGATGAACTTCATGAAATATTATTAAAAGTATATTATGAGATGATAGAGGAAGTGGAAGTTAATAATGAATCGAAAGAAAAACCAATTGATGATGAAGAGGAAATATTATGGATAACTACTCATTCAGAAATAAATTGGGAAGAGATAAGAGTGACATGGAATGAAGATTTTGAAGAATTTTTAAAACAGCATATATGTCAAAAATGTGGAGTATCAGCACAAGTAAATAATTTAGAAAATTGGGAAAATAATGGAATGAAATGTCAATATTGTATAATGAATATTGAAGCTGAAAGAATAACTGACATTTATGAAGAAGCAAATATGAAATATGAAAGATGTATTAAATGTAATAGAAAATCAATGTGTTATGATAAAATATGTAAAGGATGTGACTCTTATAATATTGGAAAATGTGAATATTGCTATAAAGAACAGGTGAAGGTAATTAAAACCTGGGAACTATTTCATAAATGGAATAGTACATGTAGTATTATGAAAGGAAGATGCAATATTAATGATAAACATCATGTGATTATGAAAGGAAGATGCAATATTAATGAAAAACATCATGCACATGATTTATGTAGAGAATGTGAATATAGGTACCAGATACAACAACAAAAACAAGTTATAGAAAAAAAGAAATAGAAGAAAGAGAAGATCAGATCTATAATAATGATGTTAAGGATATTACAGTACAAAAAAATAGGGCAAGGAGAAATAGAAAATTAATACACCAAAATAATAATAGATTTATAATGAGAGATGCAATATAGACAAAGGAATCAGAAAAATTATTGTGAAATGTGATAAATTATACCAGAAATCATGTACAAGAAAAATATTAATAATATTGCAAAATTACACGATCAAATTAATTAGGAGTTAATAAATATAACTGTATATGCAATGAAAATCAAGAATATTGAAAATACTAAAATAAACATATTATTACTTTTATATTGCAAACTTTATTTATCAGTATTTCATTATCAAAATAAGCTTAAAAATATTTTGTTTAACTTTCTTTTTTTACAAATTTTATTAAGATTTTAACTAATAATTTTATAAATGAATTTGTTAAAGGTGGATCATTTAATAATTATTTGAGAATTCCACATAAATTTGTTGTAAAAAGATCAATTAAATTCCTCAATACATGAGGTTAAGGATTTAATGTTGAAGTTCATCTGTTCTTCAATTACATTCGTATTTAGATACAAATATATGTTAATTCAAATAAACAAAAATATGAATAATAAATTAAATGACAAATATTGATTCAATAAAACAATCATTATATAACTCATTTTTTCAATGCAGTGTAGATGAAATAAAAGAATTAAAGTTAAATAAAAAAGTGGGAGGGAATAAAGCATCACTTGATTTACTATGTCAAGAATCTATTACTGAAAATTATGGTGTACCATTTAGACAAAATTCTAAAATTGCATTTTTGAAAATCCAAATTTTAAAAGGATTTGTATGGCAAGCCGTTCAATATCAAAAGTCCGCTAAGAGACTTGCTGTTTTCTTTATAGTATCAGTTGCAAAAGCAAAAGATTTACATTACACGACTTCCTAAAAAGATTTTTTAAAAAAACTTCAAACTGATAAAAGCAGAGTTTGTTCAGAAAAATGAGAAATAACCCAAGAGCAAAAGGATCGGAACGTGCTAAAATAATAATGTAAAGAATGTAAAGCTTTTCTTTTCTAAATAATTCCAGGTAGAAGCCATTAACTTTTTTGGATATTGACCAAAATTATGATAATACCTACCCACTTGTCCTCACGTATGCCAGTAGGATTGAGTTTGCGTATTTTGAACTAAAAAAATCATGAAAATCTTTCCTTTTTTAGATAATTATTGATAATTCCAGTCAAATTTTTATTTCCTATTATAGTAACCGACTGACATAATCATAATTCCGGCCCTGAAAAAATGCGTACAGCTCGTAGTAAAAAATTTTTTTCATCATCTGACCCTTATATATATATTTCTGGGTCCTATGCCAGTTGCACCAATAATATTTCGCAAAAAATACAATATTGTACCTATCACTTTACTCTGCCTTGTCGAAGGAAATACAACCGCAAATGCTTTCGCCATCGATATTAATAAGGTTAGCCACCTCAAGAAAGCTATAAAGACGGAAAAAACATAAAACTTTTTATGGTGTAGAAGCTGACGAACTCAAGCTATGGAAAGTAGATTTCTGGCAACCACGTCGATCCCTCAAGCAATTTTTCATTTCAGGACGACGATAGTTGGAAACTACTGGACTGAGAAACCGCCTAAGAGACATATTCATATCTTAGCCGAACTGCCCGGGTCAACTGCTCAGGAACCAAATCGTCCTGTTAGAGGAATCACTTAACAAGTCTGCCTATGTTTCTATGATACGTATAAATTTTAAGTTATGAAAACGAGGCAACGCCTCATCAAGTTACTGTCCAGAAGAAAGATTTTATTAATCTGGTTGTTACATTACAGAGTTTGATGTCATCTTTAATCTGAAATGAAAGGTATACAAATGGGCAGTGAATATCGAGCACGCAACCTTCAAAGGTCTCAAAGATTCCATACGTGAAATGTAGCACTTGAAAATGATGGAGTGATACTTAACTTTTTGAATGATGGAAGAAGATGTTCACCTAGGAACGATGTCTCGCTCTGTGAAATGTTGCAATCCCTAGTATCAAATACCAAACTTAAATTTACCGTATTCATTGAGACGTCATCAAGGTCATTTAACGAATAGACCTTCCCGAAAGTGTGCGAACTCTGGACTTAGTGATGATCTGGTATTGATTCAGTCTATCAAGTTTTTGATTGTGGCTCTATAGACACTAAAGATTCAAAGTATGAAGAAGCATTGCGAAAACGAATGAATTGGAAACTCGTGTTGTAACAACTTCCATTGACGTGTCCTATGAGGCCACAAAAAACATTTATTTCTACACTTATCTCGCCTCAGCAACTTTCCCGTTTAAAAGTCAATTAAAAATAGTACCTGAGAAGTTAGCCGAAGGTAAAAATGGTCACAGAATCTTGACTATAGAATTGAATCACGTACAGCTTGATCGATGTCAAAAAAGATGACTTTAAGCAGGGCTTTGCCCAGGCCAGATAAGTTAGAATATTGTCTTAGCTGTAACTCTTCAAGCAATAAGTTCAAGTTCGTGATTGTAGCCACGTGATGGCAATTGTTGCATGGCAAATGACGGATCGGTGGTAAATGATATTATTCTGCAGTACAAACAAAAATATGTATTTTTTTTTATTTACAATCAATAAAGCTAAGAGTTGCACTCCCATTGTTTATTTTTTTTATCTCATTGCTAATCTCCAGAATTATTCCTATAGATTCAAAATCATTTCATCTCGGGAAAGTTCTCTTGTGAGAAATAATCTGTTACATAGTCTGTGTGAATGGGAGTGATATAGATAGACGAAAATTCTGTAGATATAAATGGTGTAATTTATTTCGAAATCCTAATGATTATGGGGTGAAAATTTTGTAGTTAGTAATAGATTAGAAGTAAATTATCTGTAGAAAATATTCTGAGAGCAAAGAAAATAACTTGATGTTGGGACTCACATTAAATGGTCTAGGATCCCGCATACTCCCTTCCTCTTTGATAGCATCATACATTTCATTCGCTACCTTCACTTTTTTAATGAAAAATTAATTAAGTTTATCACATTTTAGGATTTATCATTTTAACATGTGTATATACAGCATTATATTTATTTTTGTATTGTAATAATTATAATAAAATTTATCATCATATTGATTGTAATACATAAAGATATTTTTTCCACTTTTTATACCAAATATTACTTATTAATCATTGGCCTTTTATTGTAGTGGTATAACGTCATCTATATAATCGAAAGTACCAGGGGTGGATGCAAATCGGCGGACGCTCATTTGTATATTTTTAAGCATCTGGTCATGAAAGAAGTGCACAACATTAATCTTCTCAAACCTTCTATCGGATGGCCAATAGGGAGTTGTATAATCCTCACACGTGAAATGTACTATACATATCTCATTTGCAGAAAGTTTTTCCGCATAATCAAGCACTTTTACAACGTGTTCATCGAGTTCTTTTTCTGTTGCAGTGGCTAATATCTCAAGAACAATTGTTTGTTTTGGAGTTTTAATTACTATATCACTATATGTATGTTTGTCTTTTTTTTCAGCATGATGTTCTACCATATGCACAGTGACCTCGGAGCCAGCTTGACTGATTATCCAATTAACCAGGATCCTGTTCAGCTCTGTGTCATACACGCTTTCTCGGGGTACAAGGATACTCTTTTGACCTTTCACATACACGTGTGCAGTTTTAAATGACCGATCAAATGCTCTATGAATGATTTCTTTATCAAAGTGCTGGACGGCCATCTTCAAAATGCTGATAATATCCAGGCTGCCATCAAATTTTTTGGGAACTGCACATGTTGGGGCTGACTTATATAATTCAGGAATAACTTGTCGCCGGATAAGCTCATCTACAAAAATAGATGACATTCTAAAATTATCCTTTTTCATTTCATCCCTCATTAACACTCCCTCAGCTGTCAGAAACTCTACCAGTCTTTTTTCTTTAGGGTTATAGGTTGGCACAAAATCGAAAGATCCTAGGAAAACAGATCGAAGAAGTTCTATAGCTGGCCTGGCTTCTTCTTCTTAAGTGTAGTAATCATCTTTCTGAAGGTGCTACAATCAGCTATCATATCCTGCATAGAATAGATAACAAAGTTTAACCAAGTTGAGTAGCTGAGCCTTCTGTTTATATTGAGTTTTGACATTAAATATGAATGGATAGCTTTTCCGCAAAGGCAGACAAGAGAAGCATGCCTGTAAAATAATCGAATCATGAAAATAAGTTTCAGATTTTGATTTCACGTAACTCTCCAATCAGTTTCACATACCCATTTGTCCGATTGTATATATCCTCAATGATCTCCGGATCAATGGTCAATTTATAATCATCCTCAAACTTCTTATATACGGTCTGCACTTGTTCCAGCGTGAAATTTGGATTTCTAAATGGATCCCTACCGTTGAACGGAGACGTAGTTATTCTGTCTGAACTCAGATGTAAAATACTAAAGGGGCCGATGGCTACCGAAGACAAGAGAGCATAGTAATCTCTTGCATTTTTTATGGTACGAATTGTTTCAAAGAATGATGATTTAATATCATCAGGTGCTTCAAGCAATGCATCGAACTCGTCAATGAAGAGAACAACATGTTTATCATTCCATTTCTCTTTCTGCAATTTTAGCTTGAAATCATAAGCTGATTTGATATCATTTAATTTAAAGTGTTGTGGAGTGTTAATATGTAGTTCAGCGCCTAATGCCGACCAGAATATATCTGTGGTTTCCATGTTTACACCTTCAAAAGATACACTGTTCCGAAGAAAAAAAGAAATATAAGCAACAGTTATACTGAATGCAATTTACTAAATAGTACCTACTAAATGCAAACAATGCCTTGGCTTTTCAACTTTTCCATAACTTGAAACACTCGTGTAGATTTTCCAGAGGCCCTTGCGCCATATAAAGCCACAAATTCTCCTCTCAGAATCATATCAAGAAGTGGAGCATTCGTTTCCTCTAGATCAACAAAATATACATAATTACGGATGGAATTTTCAATGATACTATTAGCCGTCCATCTTCTTTTATGGCAGATTTTATGTTCTGTGATATCTTTAGACCGATATTTATGACCTTCATATATCAAGTCGTAATACCGGTATTTTCGTGATGCTTCTAGTTGGTTTCTCGAAAGTTCATTTTCCTGGCTTAAATCCTTATTTTCCTGGTTTAAATCCTTCAAAGACTTTAAAGTTCTTGAAAGTGGCAAATAAGGTTTTTGCGACTGAAGGTATTGAACTCGATGAGCAACGAAGTGAGTTGGGAATACGGTCCTACGAAAGACCTGAGTAATTTTTGAGGACATTTTGTACGATAATACAAAAAATTCTCGTCTTTTAGTCTTTTATTGTGCAAATCACTCGATTCAATCATTAGTCATAATTTCTCCGAACCGCAGTACATAATTATGAGATCGCAGTTTGAGACGAAAGTTTTGGACACGTTTTTCATGGACTCTGTGCTGAAAAAAAAGCTTCTACTTAATGTTCCAAACCCATGTCCATTTCCCAATTGTGGGAAGAATTTAAAAATCACGGAAATATTTTCTACTGTTGATCGTGTCATTGCTGGAGTGAGAGCAGAACAAAGTTAGGTCGCTACTGCGCCACGTTACCGCGCAAATAGTGGACACGCGTGTCCAGAATTTTCATTTTGGTGTAAACCGAAAATTTGGTTGCCTAGATGTGAGTAAGTAATAGAAATAGAATATAAAAATGGAATTAAAAAGGAGATAAAAGAAAATTGAATGAGGAAGTTGGTTAGGAAGAAAAAAATAAAAGTATCAAAATAGAAAATACAGAAAAAAAAATAACATGTAATAATTTAGAATTAGGTAGAATATATACTATGTAAAAGAGTACATGGGAAAACATAAATCAAATTTTCAATAGATAGAACAAATAAAGATACGCGTATATTGATTAAAAAAAAAAATCTTTTCAAAATTTCAAAAATATAGTTTTTCCCCAAAAAATACTTTATATTATACATCTCATATTTTATTCCGTATGGATGCTAATAAAATAGTAACTATTGTACTACTATTATAAGCGATTTATTATAATTTACCTTTCAAAATAGTTGTAACAATTATAATAATGGAATTCTTTAAAGCTTTTAAAGCTTTATTATGAATGTGATGTACTAATAAATGGTTTATCAGCACTCAATATATAACCGATCATTTTTTTTTTTATAAATTAATTTGTTGACGAACTGCGAGAAATTCTTAGAAGAGGTGGACTTAAACCAAAAAATTATTTTTAAGTAAGGGAAAAACAGTAATTGAATTCAACTTATGTATAGAGTAATGAGCGGGAAAATGATAACTATTAACATTATTCCCATTGAGATTTTCGATTGCATCCCTAGCTTCGTCCCAACGGTTGTGCAAGCTCCATTATGAGAGTCTGCAAAAGATGGTACGCAGTCTATGAGGCATTACTCCATCAAAAAATCAATAAGACTGAATTTCAATCTCGTTTTTGAGGAGTCCAAAGCCGGTTCATACAAAAAAAAAAAAAGGATATTATTCCCAAAAAAAATTAATTACGTTATTTAATGAAAAATAAAAAAATAAAAAAAACTGGCTAATAGGAAGTCCAGAGGCAATTCATACAAAAAAAATAAAATTATATAAAGAACGTTAATCACGTTCTTAAATAATGGGAAAAAAGTAAAAATTCCGTATTCTCAGCTACTCTTAGATGAAAAAAAAAGCAAAAGTTCTCCAACCATTCCAGCTTATTTTATATGTAGAAAAAATCTAAAAAAGTTAGATACATCTTAAAACAAAAGAGGAAAGTAAAAAAAACCCCCCAGCTCCCATAATGTACCGTTTGATTTTTATGATTCATTTCTTATACGTACTAATTGAGTCACGTGATTTTAAGTGTTGGCCAGCACTATTGATGTTAAGTCTACTTAAAAATAGAGGAACTTTTCGAAATTAGGATACATAACCGCTAGTGTTGTGGGCTTGTGGCATCACCATATACATATTTCATATTAATTGAGTGTAAAATTTAATGCTATCGACGAAATTTTATGCAAAACTATATATATTGGTATATCATATTCATGGTTTTAATATATTTTACCGTGTTTTTGTATTTTTTAAATATTTTTACGCTAATACTACCTCTCCATTTGAGTATAAAATGACTTTCCAGATGGGTTGAATCTTAATTTGACTTTCTTTTTTCTTTTTAAGTAGGAATTGGAATCGATTATCGAATCTTTTCATAGACGATAACGGCCGGCAGGTCGCAGCCCTAATTACACATTCTTTACTTCTCTCTCATTTTCACATTATTAGTTTGAAAATTTTAACATGGCGCAATGTAGAAAAGCCTCATCATTAATAATAAATTTAAAGTAATTTGAAATACGCGTTATTATATTTTTTTAAAAAAAATTAACTATAAATTAAAAATTGTAAATAACACAAATAATACACAAAATCAATTATGCAATTAAAACACTTGTTGATTTTCTTCTTTACTATTGTTTTATCCAGTAAATAATCACCTCTTTAAAAAAAATTTTCTCTTTAATAATTTGATTCATTATTGACACAGATGCAGCACCGCTTGATAAACACTTTGACTCACCCGTGAATATGAATGAAACATCAGTAAACAACCCAGCGATACATGTAACATAGTAAAGTTGTCACTAGTATTAGCAAACACGCTACATTTTGGTAAAACATTTTAATAAAAAAGCTTGCTGTGATAAACTCGATTATCTATAATTAGAAATTAATTTGTAAAAAATTAATAATTTACCTTTTACCGATCGTGCTTATCCATGAAAGTCTTTTGGCTGTAAATATATAATGAAATTCTATAAATCTTATATTTAGATTTCAAATAATACAGTTATTTTATCCAATATCATATCAATTTTTTACTGAAGTCTATTTCACTGCAACCCATTTCACAAAAGCCATTTGGCTGAAGGGATATTCCACTAAATAGACACTTCATTGAATGAATATTCTGCCAAAGAATGACATTTCTTAATCATTAACAATTCAATACAAAGAAAATAAAAAATATTCTGATTGATAAACACGTGATTGTGAACTTGCCAGAAATAACGGAATTTAAATTTAACTCATCCATGCAAAATTAAAACATAATTCTGGCTAACTCCCCTAACCAAAACCATACGGACGTGCTAGAATGAAAACATTAAATGATATGAATGTTTACAATAATCAAATTAATAAAAATGAATTTTAATTATATCTATAAGAATCGTCCTCACGAAAATTATATTCTTTAATTAGATAAAGCTTAATAAGCTTATTAATTGAATTAATTAGTGAAGCCATTATAAATGTGGGACTCCTGAATAAAATTTTTCTTAAAAAATCAGAATTTTTTATTATGGGAATATTTGAGTTTATTTTTTTGATAAATTTTCATTTCTTATTTTGTTCGATTTAGTGCTAATATAAAAAAATAAAAATAATATATATATAATCTTCAGAAAATCTATAAATGACGATCATCATCTCACTTTTCGAATAACTAATTCTAGAATATTATCTAAAATCAAAAGGAGACCAATTTACTTTTTCTAATTAAAAGTAAGTTTTTAATCACATTATATGTTATACTCAATATGCAAAATGGTGTCATGGTGGATAGTGTCATGTGATAATTCGTTTTATTTTAGTATTCAAGCTTGATGAAATTTGATCCACTAAGGTTTTCCTCGTTTTTCATTTTCAATAGATTCCTCGATTGCTGCGAAAATATGCCATCATCATTTGTTCGTTATTTATTTTTGAAAGATTTTATATATGACGTGATGTATCTGTTTTATCTTTGTGCTAGCGCCTAATCGTCTCTATACCATATAATCACAAATATCACGAAGAAAGTGATTTGTATCCTCTGATTTTGACAAGTTTACTTCTGCTCTTACTGTCTGTTACTTGAATAGTTTCTTGATTTAATTATTTTAACTTGGCTCAACGAACTTAATTTTGAAATAATATCGTTTCCGTGTATCGTAAAACACTAGTAGGTCACAATTGTCACATGTATTATTCGAGAGAATCCCTTTATTTATTTTCCTGATCGTTTTTTTGTCACCCGTTTCAATGGTTTCTATCATTTTTTTTTGCATCTCCTCATCTTTCTGTATCTATTTTATTCGTGAAAGATGATGCCGAAACTTTTTTTTATATTACTGAAATATTTTCTAATGAAGGCGCAATAAGATTCCATTATTATGACATTGAAATCTTATTATTAATAAATGTGTTAAAAATTTTCGTTAAAATTTTTTTTTTGAAAAAATTTGGATGAAATGCTTTCTGAAGCAATATTTTTTTTTCTTTTTTCATCTGATAGTTGAAACATTTTTTTTCTGATTATGATATACAGAAAAAAATATACATATATTTATTTCTTTGAAGATCAAAGAACAATTTAAAAATTTAAAATTTATTATTTGATGTCAAGTTAGTATACAACAAAAATGGAACAGAAATAAATGATTTGTAATTTTATTCTAATGAAGCAATAGTGCATAAAATGGTATCATGTTTCATTGTTTAGAATGAATAATAAAACTATCTAATTAAATCAATTGTAAAGAAAATGTAACTGCTTCATCTGTAAATACTATTGGAGGGCTCATGAAAATTGCGACATTGTGAAAGTAATAAATAATACACGTATTAAATGATTAGCATGTACATTATACAATATTAGAAAAGTCTTCTTATTTATCACTGAGTAAACTATCACACATTTCTGTAGTCAGATGTATTCCTTCCACAATATGATGAAAATTTATTTGCAGAATTTTCATTAGGAAAATTCGTGATTAGAGACCTAATTATGAAATATAGATTAACACTCCAAAAGGAATTTGTCTTGAGTACTAATTGTTGACAGATTTATAATCCACTTGTCGCACGTTACGCCAACGTCGAATTTTTCTTGGTGATCGTGAAACCGCGTGTTTCCTAAAAAGAATCTGTTTGTAGTAAGGGCCATGACATATAAGTATTAGTTCTGCCTAAGTCTAGAATCGGATAAATGATCTGCCGATAGGCCGATCATGTTCTGGGTTCAGGTTTATCCACTGACATTTACATGTTTTATAGTAGTATATTTTATTGTTGAATCTATTTTCTTTCGCTTGGTTTTTTTTTTTTCATTTTAAAAGATTTTAAAAAAAAATGATTAAATTTTAAAAAGCTTCGGAACTATTACTATTACACTTGAAAAATAATATTGAGACTACTAATAAATTAATAGAAAGTTTTTCTCATTTGGAAAATGCAAATCTTTCTGAATTAAATTTTCAAATCCGTCTATTATAGTATAATCAATAGTTAATTTTTACTGCAAAATTTCCTAGGAACGGATAATCAATACATATAAAATTTGCTATCCAGTAGGTATAACTAACTACATTTGCAAATGGTGCCGATCAGGGGATAATCGCTAATATTTTAGGAAAGCAAATCTTACATGTCACATTTTTATTGGTTAAAATTAGTATTATATATATTGGTTAAAAAGATCTTACGGGGTAAAGCTCCTTATGAAACTAATATTAGCTAATATAACTTTATGCATAATTAAACTTTATGCGTAATCAAATGGAAATTCATGTATAAAAACAGTAAATTATGAATGAATCCTATTAATCAATAATGATATTTTTAGTTACTTTGCGACAAGAGAATAATATGATCGGCGTATAAATTTCTCTTTTTTGAATTCGTTTAGCGTCATATGATAAACTGGCTAATGGAAGTAAGATTGAACGTTAAAATTTTTTTAATATAGATAGCTTAATTAGTTCTCTAGGTGATATTCAAGAAATTTATGCCGCAGTAATAATCTCGACTTTATCATCGATTTCATCATCGACTACTTCAGGAGTTGATCTAGGACTTTCCGAAGATATTTCTTTTTCACAATTGTCCTCTAATAATAAATTCAAAAAATCCGTATTAAGATAATATTCTTCAAGCAATTTTTCGATACTTTGAATACGTTCTTCCAAAGTAACATTTTTAATTCTTCCACTGACGAATGGAATTGTTTCGTATCTGTTTTTAAGTTTCCTTACGAATTCTCTTCGGTACCCTGTACATAGGCAATTAAACAAACTTGTTTGCAAAAATCCCCTATAGAAAGAAATTTTGAATAATATATATTTACGAATTGTATATAATTATTTCACTCACCATGGTGCTAATTTAGATGCTCCGAATAAAAATACATAAATTCCAGATAAAGAACTGAAGAATCCACCAATGTTCGATATAATCAAACCAACTAAAAAGGTGATAAATATTTTATTATTATTTAAAATTAAAATTATTGTCATTAAAAATTAAAAAATAATTCAATAGTTACGATCATAAAATGTTACTTCTTGATAATAAATATCCTCTGATGGTGGACTTAATATAAACGTTGTTCCATTTAGAGTTAAATCTGATGTATCCGTATGTATATTAAAGTTGACATATTCTTTTCCCTCTCCGTCTGCAAGACCATATGCAAACCTATTAGATATTCGTTTTATTATTGTAGGTGAATAATATATGACCGTAGTTTGTTCTTTCGAATAATGTATAAGATTCAACTTGACATCTGGTGGATAATATTTGTCTGTTTCAAGTCCATCTAAATAAATACTAGTGATATTAGGAGATAATATTGCTATTTCTTTATACCCATGGGTAAAAGAATAGCGATAACAACCAGAAAAGTCATAAGTATATTCAATAGGAGGTTCATTGGCCACTTCGCAATTTTTAGGATCATTATATTTACTATCACTGTAAGCATATTTGTAGGAGCAATTTACATTTGAACCACAAATTGCTATCGTAATATTGGTTTTATTTGAATCAAAATTTAATTTACTTATGATAAGATTGGATTTAAAAATCGAATTATAAAATTGTGAAAACTGATAACAAGTATAGAAAATAAGCATAATAATAAGTGAAAAAGAGCATAATTTCTTTAAAAAAATAAAAGAATAAGGTTCAGTTAATCGTTTATTTTCTGAGAATACCATTTTGAATTAAAAATAACGTACCAACATGCTAATAGTATATAAATAAATGTTTTAATGATCAACTGTGATTATGTGATATGTGATGTTGTCAAGTTGTTCCGTATATAGTATATAAAGCAGATAATACATACAATTCTTGGGGAACATTGTTAAACATGAATGTCAGAAAATTTTTAAAATTTTTGTTTATTTTTATAATGATTTCCGAAATTATTTTTCTTTTTATTTACTCTTTTTTTCTTATAGTTAATAAATTTTCATTATGGTCCACATTTCCATTCGTTTTTTTATGTGGATTATTTGCATTCTATAATGAAACCATAATACATTATATAGCATTTTTAATCGTAAATCTTGTTCCATTTATATTAACGCTTTGTAATGTCTTCAAATTTGACTATTATTATGGTAAAGATTTTTAGCATCTGTGTAAATATTAATTTTTAATGAAAAAACAAGTTATTAATTCTACGTCTTTTTTTTTACTGCATAATAAGCTACTGATGAAAGTGGTTATTTAATTGATTTAAATAATGAAGCAGAGTACGAGTATTATAATTTGAGCGGTAAAGGTTCAATGAAACGATCTGAAGCTATAAATAAAATAAATGAAAATATACAAAAGAATTATATACCTAAATATATACCTGTGGTGATAATTTTGGGAATTTTTCAATTTATTTTTATAGTATTTGGTATTTTATTATTAAGGATAGGGTAATTTTTATATATATTATTTTTTATTAATTTTATAAAGAATACGTGATAATTTATATTGTACCTTTACGAATCACAACCGGTAAAATCATCACCGGTATTTTAAAATTAGGTTTTGGGAATGGATTAAGAAACCGGATGTCGATAAGAAAATTAAGAAATGTATGTTGTCTTTATAAATTAAATCTTTTCTAATTCTATCGCTGTATTAATTTTATTTCTATTAGACATCCGTATTATATACCAACTAGAAGAGATTTTACTTTTAATTACGATTTCATTTCTTGGAATTTGGATATTGATGTCAGAAATATATGAGATTTTTCAAATTAAAAAAATAGATTATTGGAAATTATTGTTTTTTGATAAAATTAAGATTCTTAATATATTGAATATATTGTGTAATATATTAGGCATTATTACAATTATTCCAATTTCAATTGTTTTCGTAGCGATACGAAAACGTTCAAGGATTCTTTATGCCTTATTTTATATTGCAAGTCTAATTGAAGTAGTAATTATACTTTATAAACTATGGATTTTTTGCAAAGATTATTTCTTTTATTATCATTTTTTTATTAAAGTGGATATTGTGGATTATGGTAATCGTAACTTTTAAGCAGTTTTTTTTTTCGATTATATTAATTATACTAACCAGTACATTCTAGTTAATTCAGCCAATGTTAACGTTAGACTCTCCATTGATAATGATATTTCATATAGATGGAGGTTCTTTATTGGTAAATAAATTCTATTAAATTGTTCATATTAAAATAATTAAAATCATAAATTAACAAATTATTATTATATATTCATATTAGGTATATCCACCCTGTTTTTTATAACAATTTTATTTATTAACACATGCTTATGTCATAAATGGATTGATAGGGATATTATTATACAAAGTAAGTAACAAAAAATTTTTTCCTTTATTATTATGATTTTTATTATTATTATTTTATAGGCTAACTTATTTATTTATTTTAGTATATGGATCAGAAGATAAACAAATTCTACTACGAAAAATTAAAGAGTTTTTGAAAAAACTTTTTTTGAAATCTTTAAGAAAAAGGTCGAATTTAGATAATTTAAGTATCGATGAATGGAAATTTGAACCTAAATCAAGGCTTTTACTATTAGATATTGTAAAGAATAATGACAACAGTGTAAGCGCCGATAACAACGTCGATAATGGCGGAATTGATGAAACTAAAAACACCGATAATGATGGAAGTGACGAGAACAAAAATAATGTTATAATTAGTTTTAACGCTAAATATGACGTAATGATACAGACAAATTATCCTTTACATAATATAAAGAAGAATTCATTGAACTCTGCTTTGAAAATGAGTAAGAACTATTAATATCAGAATGATGACTGCATTTTATTATTCATAATTAGTTTACTTTCCTCTATTAACTTATTTTTATCGCTTTTATTCAATCATGATAATAGACGCTTTCATCTCTTCTCAAATTTTATTTCCGACAGAGTATTGGTTCTACTACTATGAAATAACAATCTTGTCAAATCCGAATAATAATAAAACAATAATTGCTATTGGTCTCGCCACGAAACATTATCCAACTAATAGGTATTGATTTTTTATTAAAAAAAAAACTTTTTTCATATTTAAGCGATTTTTAATTCTATTTTTTTACTTTAAGATTACCTGGTTGTGATACACATTCAGTTGGATTTCATTCAGATGAAGGTAGAAAATTCCACAATGAAAAGTATACTGGGTCAAAATATGCTGAAAAATGGGGTGATGAAAATGACGTAATAGGTTGTGGTTATTGCCGAAAAACTGGGCAAGTTTTCTTTACAAAGAACGGTGAAAATTTGGGTATCGCTTATACTGGTCTATTTTATGATAAGTGGTATCCTACAATTGGTTCTAATGGTTTTTGTAAATTAAAAGTTAATTTTGGCCAAAAAGAGTTTAAATATAAAGAAGCTAATGGTATGAGCGTTGCTGGTGTAATTTCTCAAGAGTTATTAAATAAGGTAGATGAATCCGTTAAGATAAATGTGAATCCTTCTTAAATTTACCTTTTTATTTTTATAATGTCTCAATAATTCTTATAAGTTTTATTTAATTCTTAATTATATTTTTTAATTTATTTTCATTTTTGTTTATTGCAAATAAATATTTAATAGTTATTCGGCACGAAGTGCCGAATAACTGTTATATTGGGTAAATCAAATTTGATTCAAGGTAGTTATTCGTATCACGTGATTTGAATATTGCTATTTATTATAAAATCACGTGATACCGGATAAACTTTATTCCTCCCTCAAAATGTGAACGTCATCCTATCATAAAATGCTTAACATTCCATTTTGAAAGGTGAATAATAAATCTAATATTTGTAAACCATTTATCCTCGCGATATTTTTCAAAAACAAAAAGAGCAAGGTTTTATCTTGCAATATTTTATAAAAAGTGAAATATTTCTTTTTTAAAATTTAAAAAATTCGTTATATAATTTATTTTAATAAAAAAATTTGTACTACTTTAAGGCATCTATGTACTGTATGTTTCTATAATTAAATATATTTAAACTATTAACAAATGCGATGCACAAAAATATATCCTTTATTATACATATTTTTAAAAGTATTTTGTCCCAAGTTTTCAGTAAAAATAGTATTCTAGTATATATTTAGTATTAAAAGTTATTTTAACTATGCAATAATAAAATAAGTAAATTTGAAAAGGACTTAAAAAAATAAAACAAATCTATATTATTAATGAAAAAAGTGTGATATTGTGGAATTTGTGGAATTTTTTGGGGTAATCGGGCGGTTAGACGTACCCTACGATAAACTATGCCGCACCCGCATATCATCGACCCTACCTACAACTGATCTTTTTAACAAATAATTTTTGTTATGTGAACTCGGATTGGATTTTTATATGGATTTTATTTAGTTATATTTATTTTTAAGAAAGTAGTATAGTGAAATATTTGAAATATTTACACGTATATATTTCCAAAGCAGAACCCTTCATAAATATGACTGGCTTAATCAGCCACTGAAATCCATTGGACAAAATTTATTTTCGTGTAACATTTATCTTGGAAAAGATTTATCTTAGAAAAAATTTTTATAAACTTTTTTTATAGTATACGCTAATACACGCATAACATTTATCTTAAAAAATTCATAACTGATAAATTTTTTTTTATAGTATACGCTAATAAGCGTGTAACATTTATCTTGGAATTTTTATGATAAAAAATTATGTAAAAAATAAACTACACCAACTATTAGAAATATTTATCAAATATTTGACAACTGAGTAAAGAAGTTTCAAACAATACATAATAATTTAATTCATAACTCAAAGAAACCAGAATAAATTTACCAATTGCAAGTGCTAAGGTGTAATTATTAGAAAGAACCACCTTATATTTATTCAGACTTGAAATTCTTGATTAAAAAGTTTTCTTTTATCGTAAATTAATAGTAATTAAAAAAAAATATTTAGTTTAAAGAAAAAAAAGAAAAATAATTTGTGTAAAAAAAAGGAGTATAAAAAAAAAAGATCAAATGAAAGAGTAGTAGTGTAAGAAAAAGAACGAGCGTTTATTTCTTTTAAACTAGGAATTAGGAAACAGGAACTGTTAGGAGCGTCCTAAAGCATTGTAATCACATGATCATCAATTACATGAACACTTTAGAAAGCCAATGTTATAATTTTTTGTTTCTATACCTGATCCTAAAATTTTATTGGCAATAACTGATAACACGCAAAGACATTGCATGCTTTTCATGCTTTTGAATAAACCAGTGACTCAAATGCTCAAATGTCTGGTCACATGCCATTTGGTTATTTCAGCATTGTCATTTAAAAATTATAACATAATTCTGGCCAAAATTATCTATGTAGTGAGGATAAAATTATATCACGTGATAATATAAATTTTGTAATTCTGGCCGGCATCATAAATTTGGCCTGAATTAATTCTAAACCGAATGACTAGGTCATTCGAAGGGTCATTTCAAAATGGCCAAATGACCTGGTCGTTTTCCATCACTGAATTAACGATCAGCTGGCCTAAGATAAGATAGATCTAGGATAGAAAGCCTAGACTCGGTCTAGGTTAACTTTTCGACAAATCACTTATGACATTTTATCAGGCATTTACTATTTGATAATTTATATTAGTACAACTCGTTATCTAAGTTGTGTAAAGTTTATTATTCCAAGTAACTATAATAAATAGTTATTCGGCAATTATTCAATATTTACTGATACTTAAATTAGTCCAATAGCCTATAAAACACCGTTTAAGTAAATATTGAATTTTAAGATAGTGCTTATCCAATAATACACTAATGCATTAATTAGTCCTATAGGTGAATAAGATGATATTCAAGAAATTTATGTCGCAAGTAAAAATCTAGACTTTATCATCGAAGCTATTGTCTTTATTTTCTTCTAATAATAATTTCAAAAAATCCGTATTAAGATAATATTCTTCAAGCAAATTTTCGATACTTTGAACACGTTCTTCCAAGGTAACATTTTTAATTCTTCCACTAACGAATGGAATTGTTTCATATTTGCTTTTAAGTTTCCTTACAAGTTTTCTTTGATATCTTATACATAGGAAATTAAACATACGTGTTTGCATAAATCCCCTATAAAAAGAAATAATATTATAATAATATATATTTACGAATTATATATAATTATTTCGCTCACCATGGTGCTAATTTAGATGCTCCAAATAAAAATACAAAGATTCCAGATAAAGAAGTGTAGAATCCACCAATACTCGATGTAATCGAACCAACTAAAAAAAGCAATAATTAGTTTTTAATATTTAAATTAAAATTATTTTCTTTAAAAATTAAGTTAATTTAATATTTACGATCATAATAAGTTTCTTCTTGATAATATATATTCATTGATAATGGTCTTAATACAAGCGTCGTTATATTTGGAGTCGTTAAAGTTGTTATATCCGTATGTGCATTAAACCTTACATATTCATCTCCCTCTCCACCTGCAAGACCATACGCATACTTCCTTGATATTCGTTTTATTATTATAGGTGAATAATATACGACCGTAATTTGTTCGTCCGGATTATATATAAGATTCAACTCATCATCTGATATATAATATTTATCTATTTCAAGTCCATCTAAATAAACATACGTGATATTAGGAATTATTTCTATAATTATCTCGCTTTCATAGTCAAAAGTATAACGAGAATAACGAGAACAACCAGGAGAATTGAATCTCGCATATTCTATAGGAATGTCATTAGCTGTCCTGCATTTATTTTTATCGTTGTAAGTACAATTTTCAATTTGACCACAAATTCCTATAGTAATATTAATATTATCAAATATATCTAAATTATGGAAAGTGATCTTGGGTTTAGAAATTGATTTATAATATTGTGAAAGTTGATCGTAAGAATAGTATAAAAGTAAAATAATAATTGTTAATGAACATAATTTCTTTAAAAGAATAAAAGAATAAGGTTCAGTTGATCGTTTATTTTCTGCGAATACCATTTTAAATTAAAATAGCAAAATAAAATTGCTGATGTGCTGCTATATAAAATTACGCATGAGCCGAGCCGATCAACCAAGCCATCTTGTCAAGCCGCTCAAAAAAAGCTTAAGCCGGCAACGGGCTAAGCTCAAAAAGCTCAAGCTGGCAGTGTTACGGCAAGGCACATCCGATTTACTGATCCGATCAGCTGATAATTTTTTTTGAAAAAATATAAATATAGTTTTTAATACTCTTTTCTCTAAGGGCGGCTCTTGGATGCTAAAGAATGCTCTGAAAAGTAGTTGTAAGAGAGGGAAGTTTTTATTATAGAAACGCTAATAAATATCATTAACATTCATTTTGTTCACTTTTATAATAATAATAGTATGAACAAATAATTAGGTTTTGATCGTAGGAACTTTCGAAAAAGCTTGGCCTAAGCCAAAATTTTCATGGTTCAGCTCGGCTCGTTTTAGCTGTGTTAGAATTTCATGGCTTGGCTCTGGGGCGGAATTTTTTTCGAGTCAAGACTGTGGCTCGGCTCGAGCTGGCTCATGTAAAGCACTATTGCTATATAAATAAATGTTTGGTGATCAACTCTATAACGGATGTAACGGGTGAACAACTGAACAGATGGCTAATGGGTTAATGTTGTCAACGGGTGGATAACAGTTAGTGTATACCCAATTTTTAAAGAATAATTGTTGTATTTATCAATCGATTACAGTTACAGTTATAATGATAAATTATAAAATGATAATATAAAAACAATATTGATATTTCCCGAGCACTCCGGTTAAATCCGTTGGTCAAAATTTTGATGATTATCTGTACCAGATAACCGATATGCGTTTCTAACTGTTATAAAAGTTAATAATAAAAGAAGACAATGCAATTCTTGTGATGCACATTTTTAAATATGTTGAACATTGAAAATTTATTAGTTTTTTTATTTATTTTTACAGTTATTTCCGAAGTTGGTTTTCTTTTTATTTACTCTTTTTTTCTTATAGATTCTAAATATACATTATGGTCCACATTTCCATTCGTTTTTTTTAGTGGATTATTTGCGGTTTATCATAAAACCATAATACATTATATAGCATTTTTAATCGTAAACCTTGCACCATTTATATTAATGCTTTGTAATATCTTCAAATTTGACTATTTTTATGGTAAAGATTTGACACCCGCATAAATATCAATTTTGAAAAAAAAGTTATTAATTTTACGTCTTTTTTTACTGCATGATAAGCTATTTCTGATCGTGACTTACTTGATTTAAGCAATGGAACAAATAAAGAGAAAATAAAAAAGATTTATACTTTGTTCAATGAAGGAATGAAAGCATCTGAAGCTATTAACGAATTAAATGAAAATACACTGAAGTATTATTTACCTAAATATATACCTGTGGTGATATCTTTGGGAATTTTTCAATTTATTTTTATAGTATTTTGTATTCTATTGTTTAAGAAAGGGTAATTTTTTTAATATTTATTATCTTTTTACTGAATTTTAAAAAAAATAAATTGTGATAATTTATTAACCTTACCGGTAAAATTACATCTTATTAGGTCTTGGAAATGGATTAAGAAGCATAAATTATCTAAATTTGATAACAAGAAAAGTAGGCTTATCTTATAAATTAAGTCCTTTTTAATTTTATAATTACATTAATTTATTTTTATTAATTCTATTAGGCATTTATATTATATATCAACTTGAGGAGATTTTACTTCTAATTACGACTTCATTTCTTGGAATTTGGATTTTGATTTCAGAAATATTTAAGACTTTTCAGATTAATGAAATAACAGACTATTATGGGGAAAATTTAATTGAAGAAATTTTTGATATATTTTGTACCATATTTGGTATTATTACAATTATTCCAATTTCAATCATTTTCGTGGCGATTCGAAAATGTTCAAAAAGTCTTTTTATTTTATTTTCTATTGCAAGTTCAATTGAATTAATAGTTATACTTAATAGATTGCTATTGAGTTATCTCATTGATTATCTTGATTATTATGATATATTTTTAAAAGATAGTGCACTTTTTAGTAATATTGATGGATATTTTAATTATGATCGATTTTTTTCTGATTTGCTATATGATGGTAATTAATTAAATTTAAGCAATTATTTTATATTAATTATATTAACCGATACATCTACTAGGTGACTTTTCCGGAATTAAATCCAACATTAATAATAATATTATATATAGACAGAGGTTTTTTATCGGTAAGTAAATTATATGAAATTTTCGTATTAAAAAAAATTAAATTAAATTAATACTAACATATTGTTATTATATACTTATTTATTACTTATTAGCCATACCCACACTGATTTTTATAGTAATTTTATTTTTTAACACATGGTTATGTCGACTATGGATTGATGAAAATTTTATTGAACTAAGTAAATAGAATTTAAATTTTTTTATTATTATTATTATTTTGTATGCTAATTTACTTATTTATTTTAGTATATGGATCAGAAGATAAACAGATTCTGCTACAAAGAATTAAGGAGCTTTTGAAGGAACTTTGGGGGAATTTTTTAAAATTTTTAATAAATGAGCCGAATTTAGATTTAAGTATCGATAAATGGAAATTTGTACCTGAATCAAGACTTTTACTATTAAATATTGTACAGATTACAGTACTGGTTGATGAAGAGATTACAAACGCTGAATATGACAAAGATGATGAGAATATTGGCGTTAAAAATGACAAAAATAATAATGAATTTGCTATGATCATTGATGTTACTGATGTTGATGGAATTATTTTTAATGCTAAATCAGATGTCATGATACAAACAAATTATCCTTTTCGAAATGTACCTAAGAAAGGTAGAAACTATTAATAAATTAATTAGTATTGTTTACTTTTATTCAAAATTTCCTCTACTTACTTCTATCTTAAACATAATAATAGATGCCTCTTCCACCTCTTTATCTACACCACGAGTAGAGTATTATTACTATGAAATGACAATCTTCTCAAATAAAAATAAGACAATAATTGCTATTGGTCTCGCCACAAAAAATCATTCAATTAACAGGTATCATATCTATGTCTATAAATAATTTTCATATTTAAAGTAAGCAATTTCTAATTCTTTTTTTTTTTACTTTTAAGATTACCTGGTTGCGATACACATTCAGTTGGATTTCATTCGGATGAAGGTAGAATATTCCACAATGAAAGGTATACAGGTTCAAAATATGATGAAAAATGGGGTGATAAAAAAGATGTGATAGGCTGTGGTTATTACCCGGATACCGGACAAGTTTTCTTTACAATGAATGGTAAAAATTTGGGTATCGCTTATACTGGTCTATTTTATGATGAGTGGTATCCTACAATTGGTTCTAATGGTGATTGTAGTTTAGTAGTTAATTTTGGCCAAGAAGAATTTAAATATAAAGAAGCTAACGGTATGAGTGTTGCTGGTAAATTAAATAAGGGAGATGAAGATAAATATTAATCCTTAAATTATTTACCTTTCCAGCAGATTTTATTTTTGTCAGTAATGAAACTTCATAAAATTTTATTTAAAGTATTTCTCAATTATATTCTTTAGTATTTTATTTTATTTTCATTTTGTCTATTAATAATTATTTTTGTTTACAATCTAATATTTTTTTCAAAATGGGATGGTTAATTAATGGCTTTAATTTCTTTATACAAACTATATACATATTATCTTGGCGTAATAAATAACTAGTATATATCGAAAGAATTTTCTTTTAATATATATACCATAAATGTCACATAGCGATGTAATATTCAAGCCCTATAAGAAATATGTATACGGAAAGGATACGTTTTGTATACATTTTATGTATGTTTCTATAGATTCCGTATACAAATTCCGTATATTTAATAAGCAATTCATTTTTGAACATTTTTTAAAAAAACTGATGTATACGAAATGTATATGGAAAAAATTAATCATACGGAATGTATACGGAATTTTTAAACTTAAAATAATTTTACAAAAATCTCGTATCATAATACGAGATCACGTGATTGTTTATTGTTTTGTTATGATACGTTTTTTGTTTTTTATATATAAACCCTTACTTTGATGAGTTTGATCTTCAGATCTTCCTTTCTGTCTTCTCTTTTCTCTTGTCTTATTTTTGTTATTTTTTCTAAATTTTTCTTCTTTTTTCGTCACCCCCCTTTTAAAAAAAAATTTTTTTTTTTCGTACCTCACTTTAAAATTTTTTTTTTTTCATCACTCTCCCTGTCTCTTATACACATCTAGATTGTATAAGAGACAGTAGAGAAGCCTGTGCTGTGATAAATAGACTTGAAAAAGGAAAAAGTACGCCAGGTCTTACTTCTCTCGATTGTTTCTGCTTGTTTCGCCATCGATATTTATTGCCCTGCAAGCATATTTTTCACGAACACATGTACGGCAATAAATTGTTGACTACTGACGTATGGCAAATGTTTCGCGAAATTTTTGAAGAAAGCGGGTTTGAAGTGTATGAAAGTCGAGAATCATTTATAGAATATGTTCAGACGGAGCAACAGAAAAACGCCGAGAATCGAAGAATTGCTGTGGGAGAATTAACCGAAAGAATGCGCGATAGGTATTGGCGTGTTGAAGAGATGGGTGATGTTGAGAAGACGCAATCTTTTATTTCTATGTTAGAAGCCTCCATGAATCCGATTATTTTGCAATTTGATAATAATTCAAGCGGAAAAACTTAGAAATTAGAATTACTTATTAGTATTTTGATACTAATAAATGTACAAGGTTGTATTGGGTTCTGATTATTGTGCGGGCTTGGTTTCTTAAATTATTACGAATTTTTTTTTATGTAGATAAAACTATGAATTTTTTTTACGAATTTTTATTAGAAATTTTTACGAATTTTTTATAAGAAAAATTACATTTTAAATTCAAATAAAACAATAAAATCAATAAATACTAGGATGGGCCTTTTTTATTTTAATTAATTTTTTTAAAAATTTTTAATTTTTTTATTAATAATTTATTGATATATTGATATTTTTAAGAAATTTTACTTTGCTGGAATACATTTTTTTAGCNGGAATTTTCATAATGTATTTGTATTTTGTTTATTTTTTATTTTTTATTTAATTTAATAAAGTAAAATTAGATTTATGTAAATATAATTATAGTAAACTGTAATACAAATAGTAAATTCAGTGACCAAATCGTATAAATTTCGTGATAAAATCAGTGATCAAATCATGTAAATTCCATATGAATTCCGTGCAAATTCCGTATCCAAACCATATTTTTAGTGATACGGAATTGTGCATTTTCCCGTATCCTATTATGATACGTTATTTCTAAGGAAAAAAATCGTATAAAAACTTTATAAAAAACGTATCCAATTTTTTTATAGGGAAGCCGCAGCAACAAAAATTACAGAACGAAATTTTTATTTTTTATTTACTTTATTGGTTAATCAGTTTGTATTTGCGGAAATTGCCTTGCCTTCTTAAAAAAATTAAAGTTGATAAATATACTAAAAAACTTGAATGCTGTATTCAGTTTTATAGCTTTTATCGTGTTTTTACAAGCGTATAATTCACCATAGCGTAATAATTTTTTTTGTTTTATTTTTCATTTAAAGTAACATTTTAACAGTGTATAAGAATTTTTTTTTTTATAAACATATATAAATATATTAGAAAAGTAACTTTGTATTCCGTGAACTGTGATTTACGTATGGTCTACAGTACTCATATATAAACACTATAATTATACTATCGGATTTATAAATTTATAATGAAGTCATCGTCAATTTAAATTTTTCCAATGAAAAATACAATCTTTTGTCAGAGCCACTACTTCTTCTTTTCTCTTTAATTCCTTTTACATTCAGTTTTTTCTAATTTTTTTGCGATATCGGGAAGATTTGCGAGATTTTAAGTATAGTTGGAGTAATACGCGTCCATATGACCCATAAAACGTATAAATCTTATATAATTCTCAAACTTCCTTAGTTTTCTCTCGTTAAAAATTTTCTTTTCTCTCTTTTATGAAGACTCTCTTTTATGAAACCTGTATATTTGTTTAATAAGAAAACTCTCTCTTTTATGAAAACTCGCTTTTATGAAACCTGTATATTTGTTCAATAAGAAAATATCATTCAAAAGCTAAGTATTTTGTAATTTTTTAAATACATTTATTTTATTATAGTTATAGAAAAAGTTTATTATTTATTTTATTATGTGAGGTTCCGGAGAGAAGGATTGTATTGCCAAAAATTACTCAAAAGAGTATCAGTAAAGTTTACACGAATAGTCTCTGAGCACAGTAGTTAGAAAGCTATTGCCTTTTTTGTTGGACTTGATATAAGGTCTATTGATTCCGAATGAGGTTTCAAATTACGTACCTTTCCTTATAACAACTTTCAAAAAAACTTGTTTGTGGCATACAAATCTGGTAAAAAGCAGTTTAATAAAAATATTTTATAAATTTTTAAGATATTTATTTGTATGTTAGAAGTATACTTATCTTTTTATTTAATTTATATAATTTATATTAGGTTATTAATCTATCAAGCAAGAGCTTCAATTCCAGAATTTCTACTTTGGGCCCAGGGAACTAAGCTTAATACTTAATTAATATAAAATAAAATGGAAATAAAAATAATAAAAATAAAAATAAAATTAATATTATTAAATTAAAAATCACGATTTCCGTCCTCAATGATAAAATCTTTTTCATCATCATCTGTTAAGAGATCGTTACATATTATGTACATGATATATTTATTAATTTATTTATTAAATACCTCGTTAAAAAGACACATATAAAGTATTGAGCAGCCTACAGACTCTAGATGGATACGCCTATATTGCCTATATTAACCATAAAGTTTCAAATGTCTGTATCCCTAGGAAACTTTTAATAAAGTCGTAACTGATTATTAATTATAGAAAATATGATATCTTGAAACATTATTGACATGATATATATTTTTTCAAAAAAAAAATGGAAAAGTTCATGTTTTAATTGATTGTGTAGGTTTAATAAGAGAAATAAATTTATTTTATAAGACGTGCAAAAAATTAGCGAAACTTTTTATTTTTTTACATACTGTGTATCATATTATGAAAAAAGACCCTGTTTTTATCGTTATTAAAAAAAAGAGAAATATTCATACTTTTTCTTTAAAAAAAAGGTTTTAATGCAAAAAAAAGAGTTCTTTTCGTAAAAATATCGTATTTATTAGCACAATCAACTTTGATGGGAACGTGTACATTGTATTTCGTTATTGAATCCAGAAAGTACTTGAGGGATAACGTATGTGTGTAGGAAATGGTACGACTCAAATATAATTTAACTGTATAAAATATTTTCGATTTAATTGTTTAATTTTACATTTTACTGAGTTTATTTGATTTTAAATTTAAAACGAAATTATTACTCAAAATGTTGAGTTAGTCATAACATAGTGACATAGTGTAATTATTTATAATTTGGACTATGCAATTCAATTTATTTATATAAAAACTCGAGTGATTATACCAAATATACTCATCAAATTTTTTGTATATTTATTTAGAATCTTGAACAAAGCAAATTTTCTCTAGCAATTTTATTAAGTATACTGTACATCTTTTACTAAAAATGCTGAAAGTGTTTGCTCTCAGAAGCAATATATAAAATTAAAAAATATAATAAGATTATTGACTTATCAATCATATTGACCTGAATTTGACTCAGAATCCAGAAAAATACCTATCAAATTAAAGAGTACTGATGTATGAGTAACACGAGTCACTGTAATGATTAATTAGTAAAAGGAAATTTATAAATAGTCTATCAAGAAAATGAATAGGAATTAAGGAATTTAACGTCACCCTTATTAGGGACCACCAATCAAATACTAACCACCCCACTTAACATACTTTCCTCCAACCTCCGATAAAGTATGCGTATGAGATCCTTACCATGGTCTTGCCATGTAAGAAAAGATTTTGCGGCACTCTTGTTATAATTTAACCATTAAATTATAATGATTCGGTATCCCGAGATGACGCTTGTGCTATCAGTAAGGAACAGATCTCTTACCTCCTTTTACTTCGCATATACATCATACTAAGAATGAGTTTACTTAAAGTAAGGGCTTATATCGTGTTAGTGAGTATCTTATATTAGGGATTGGAATCGATTCGACTAAAATCGATTTAATCGAAAATCGAATTGTATCTAATAGAATCGAATCCCAATATTTGTATTTTGGTGCAGCAAATATAATCTTGCTGTTTCCACAATGAAAAAAAATCTCAGAATTAACAACAATTGTGATGGCTTTTTGACCAATAATAATTGGATATTGGACAATTAGACAATTGAGAATTTAATCAAATATGAGTTAATTGTGGCTAATGTTTAATTAATTAAAAAAAATTTTTTTTTTTATTAGTTGATAATTTCGAGTTCAGGGACCTGGATCATCTTTTGGCCAGAACTAAATATAATTCTACAATGCGGGTCAAAAATGTCTACTGCATATTTATACATAATTTTTTTATTATAATGATAACAAATTTTGACTTTTTATATAATAATTACTTTAGCTAATAAATTTCAGGGTTTTTATTCTGTGCAAAAATAAAATCATTTTACTTTTTATCAAAAATTTTCAAATTTTACAATAAAGATTATTTTAGTATTTTAGTTAAAATCCAAAATTTTGTGCCGCCGGGATCATTGAAAGCGTTGCATCACGAAAATGTTTAAAAATGATTTTTTGTAAAATTACTGAGAAACGATTAATTGATTCTTAAATTGATTCTCGGGTTTCGATTTTCGATTTGAATCGATTCCAATCCCTATCTTATATACATGTATAAACAAAATAAAGTTAAATAAAAAACAAAATAATTTTTAAAAAAGAAACTTTTTGAAAATATCCTCCGCGTAGTGTTTGAAACGCCAAAAAGGATAAGAAAACTACGAAGAAAATAGGTTACTATGAGTTACTATGCTGGAAATGGTAAGAATTAGGGGAAGAGAAGGATGGAATTTTTTTAAAAATTTTTTTGGATGGAGAGGTATTAAAATTGTCATACAAGAGTTTTTTCACACAGAGTTTGAATATAGAAAAATCAAAAATCACGTCATGATCAAACAAATCAATATTAGTAAAAAAAAAATTTTTTTCCGTAAAAGATGACTCATGATTATTGGTCATGTGATCTGATCATGCATAAATTTTACGTAACACGCTCTAAAATAGATGAGATTTAAATAAATTGAGATTGAACATGTAAATATATAATATCAAGGTCCGCTTATAAGATTGATGACTTTTATAAAGTAAATAAATATTATATCATTATATATTTAAGTATCTTGTTAACGGCAGCTCCGCAGCTCCTAATCGTCAGTTACTCAGTTTATTTGAATGGTAAGATAATTTTTTGAATTAATAATTAATTAGTATATTTTTTTATAAACAGATGGAATATTACAAAGGCTATTAAGCTATTATTACTGGTATGTTTGCGTAATTTTTTTTTTTTGGCGGGTATTATATAATAAATTAATAAATATATTAGTCACGTCAGGTATATGTTATTAATTTAATTACTTTAATATACATATAATATATAAATATATCATGCTGGATCTTTAAATAGAACTCGAGTAAAATGAGTCAAGAACTTTTTTACTTGAATCAGAACTCGAGTCAATTCGAATCAATGCCATAGTGCGAGCAAAACTGTTTATAAATTTGACCAACTCCGCACTATGGTCTTTTGGTTTTTTCTCTAATGATAATGCAGGCCGATATTATGATAGTTCTGGCCAATATTACCGATCACGTGCATTCGGTCGAGTCAAGTTAACGATTAATGGTAAGCAGCATTACATAATGCCGGCCTGAAAGAGATGCGTACAGTTTAATAGTAAGTGTGTACTAATCCTCTCAGACCTATACACGGGGCCGAATTAGCAATGTCAAAACTAAAATGAATTACACCGCCATAATATGTTGAATATTGGATTGCATTGTCGTCTTAATGTCAAATTGATGGCAATAAATATAGTTATATATACCAGCAGATCTGGCAGATTCTACAGATCAATTCAACAATTTGACATTATAGAATCATGGCATTATAACATTACGGCGGCGTAATTCATTTTGATATGGAATATTTGAATTGATGTTGGTATAATATTTTATGCTGCCATAATATCAAATTTGTGAAATAAAATGAGTAATTACGCCTCCATGTATACCACGACCTATTTATACAGTTTATAGGTTAGGTTCTTTATTTCTAACGTTATCAGATTATCTGTTATGTATTTTTTATTTTATTCGAATCAAAATTTATTGCAAAAGAAAATGATACTATTGTTACGAAATCGATGTTGTTGATATCTTCTTGCAATCCATGGGCAAAATATATTCATGAAGTCTAACCATGTTGAAATGATCATATAAAATCTAATAAACACTATAAATATATGAGGAATTCTTTAAAAAATTCTTGATTCATATAGAAACATCATCTTTTCTTGTACTATTAACTCATTTAACTAAATCATTTAACTAAATTTTCCTTAACTTCAATTTTAAATCATCCTGTTAAGAATAAACTCCAATAGAAAAGCAGGTAAATTAATAGAATTAACAGATTAAACAAAATTTATGATAAACTTTAAACATTGAAGGTTTTCAGCAAGTCGCATTCATAATATTTAGATTTCAATTCCGGCCTTATTATTTATGCCCACGTGACCACTATAAAGATACTTTGATTTTAATGCAAGGAAATATATTTTAATAGTAAATATAGTAAGGAATTGATGAATGTCGTGCCCTCAGTGCCCTCAGGTGTCGATTTGCGTCAGTCAATTAATAAAATCACGTGATTCCGATAAGATTTTTTACTTTAATAGTTTGTGCGACATACTGTAATTATAGGTCTCAACGAGATTTAAAGGAGTGGGATTAAATTAGACATTAGTATATAGCTAAAGAATGCACAGTATTGTAGCTGTATGTACTGGAATTTACTATTATCATATTATAAACAGAAAATAATATTTTCAATAAGAGTGTTGTTAGGTTAAGCATCGATACTTTAATGGCCAATTTTATCAGTATTAACTTCAGAAAATAAAAATATTTATCTACTTTTTTTTTTACTCTCTTCGTAAAAATTAAGAAAAGTATTTTAAAAGAATGAAAAGAGCAAACAAAAAAAAACAATGGGAGTAATACTCGAACCAATTAACATCAATCATTGATTGATTCAATCAATGATTGGTCACATCGATTAAAGCTTGAACTAATTTTTGGTCAATCAAATTTATCCATAACTGCCAAATTGATCGATATTCCTGCATAAAAAAATACTTTGGATTATTAAAAAAAATAAATTAATACAGATATGTAAAATAAACTATATAATAATAAGTCACAACAGGAAGTTAGGAACCCTATCTTCTTTCTTCTATGGGAAATTTATTATTAGTTTCTCCTGAAAAATTTTTCCTTGTGTTCTTTTCCTTATTTTGGATTTTGAGTCTTTGTCAAAGGATTTTGTCAAACGCAAGTAAAATGTGCAATTATTTAATTATTTACAAAATGTCATTTCATTTTAATATTATTTATGATGTCTGTCACAGATATAAGTACTCAAATTGTATTTTTTTCATCACATAACACTATGCAATTCCACAATAATTCGTCCTACCGCAAGAGAGGCCGTAGCAAAGTCGGTGTTACTGTTTTTTTAAGGGGTTGAAACAAAAGGTAGTAGGTTAAATTTAATTCATTCATTTTTTCTTTAAAAAAAAAATTTGAACTGCAGCTTGAGATAAAAGTATATTTAGATGAACTTCTTAATTATGAATGTGAATAAATCATTAATTTTATTATTAATCTGCTGTATAACGAAGGACTAAATATAATTATGAAAGGAACCGCCTTACATGTTTACTTACGTAAACTATCATATGATTACATAAAAATGTCACATTTGAGTTTGTGTAAACTTAACCAAAATTAACTTCCTTTTTTAGGTAACGTAATAGGAATTTTATTGCTCTATTAGTAAGTGTCTCGCTATATCCCGACGTAGGTTATGACCTCATAATAAACACAAAATTAATTTCGTTAAATAAATTAATAAATTATGAATGAAAATAATTCCAATAAACGATAAACAATGCAATAATTCCTGTATCCTATAGGTGATATTCAAGAAATTTATGCCGCAGTAATAATCTCGACGTTATTATCTTCTAATAATAACTTCAAAAAATCCGTATATTCTTCTAGCAAATTTTCGATACTTTGAATACGTTCTTCCAAAGTAAAATTTTTAGTTCTTCCACTAACGAATGGAATTGGTTCGTATTTACTTTTAAGTTTCCTTACAAGTTTTCTCCAATATCTTATACATATGCAATTAAATAAATGTTTGTAAAAATCCCCTATAGAAAGGAATAAGGTATTACAAATAATGCGTGTATTTATGAATTATATATAATTATTTCGCTCACCATGGTGTTAATTTAGATGCTCCAATAAAAATACGAAGGTTCCAGATAAGAAACCGCCAATACTCGATATAATCGAACCAACTAAAAAAAGTGATAAAAAATTTATTATTATTTTAAAAAAATTAAAATTATTTTCTCTAAAAATTAAAGATTAATTTAATATTTATGATCATAATAAGTTTCTTCTTGATAATATATATTGGCCTTAATACAAGGGCTGTTGTATTTGGAGTTGCTAAAGTTGTTATATCCGTATGTACGTTAAAGTTAACATGTTCTTTTTCCTTTCCACCCGCAAGACCATACGCATAGTATTTCCTAGATATTCGCTTTATAATTATGGGTGAATAATATACGATCGTAGTTTGTTCGTTCAATAGAAATAAAGAACTAATTTCAGCAGGATAGTATTTGATTATTTCGAGCCCATTTAATTGTTATATTAGGAGTTATTTCTATCTTTATCTCTTTTTGATAATTAAAAGAATAACGAGAACAATCAGGAGAATTGAATTTAAAATATTCAATAGGAATTTCATTGGCTACTCTAAATTTATGACCTTTATAAATACAATTTACAGTGGGACTATAAATTTTTATCGTAATATTGATATTATCGACAGAATTTAATATTTCATCCACGGGTTGTTTACGGAAAATAAGAGTTGGGTTTGGCAATCGATTTAGAAAATTGTGAAAATTAATTCCAAGTATAGAAAATAAGTATAATGATAAGTGAAAAAAAACATATTTTCTTTACAGCAAAATTTGAAATATAGTGGACACTTGAAAATTTTTATTGTCAGTACTCGGGTTACTCGGCTAGTCGGGTTATTAGAAAAGATATATAACACGTGACACATATATATGATGGCGTAGTACAAAGTATAATATATAATGTAATTATGTTAAAATTAATTAAGGTACTAGCCGAGTAACCCGAGTACCCGACAATCCCGACAATAATAATCCAGTAATTGGCCTTAAAAGAATTGAAATTTATAAATTTATATAAAAAAAATTTTTTTAAAAAAATTTTTTTCGTTTCTATCCAAAATAAAATTAAATTATTCAATAAAATTTTATTTCACACGATTAATATATAATTTTTTTTACTAATAAATATTTTTTTAATAATAAATTTAATAAATTCGGGTATATATATAGATTTTTTTTTTTAATAAAATTCGGATATATAATATATATATTTTTATATATTTTTTGATCAGGTTCATATAGAATGTTTAAGTATTTCAGCCGCTTTTATATATTTAACTTCCTTCAATTCTCATTATAATTAATCACAAAAATTAGCCTCCTGAACAATGTATGTGAATAATAAATATTTCCTTGATATTAACATATGGTCAGCTCTCGGATTTTTAACCAGCTAATTCATAATTCCTTGCCGATGTCAATATCAATTCAATATATACATATTATTGGATGGGGAGTAGCTATATCGGTCACAGGACCGAATGATCACCAATCAATGAAGGGCCCTGTGACCGATATAGCCCATAATTAAAGAATTTATTAAGTTCCAGCCACGTGATAAACTTACCCGCCAATAAAATTACGTCCTGATTACGTGAAAAACTTTTTATATGTAAACTTTTTTTTATTGAAATTTGAAAAAGTGACCTGGCGCCCCAGACGAAAGCTTAAACAAAACAATTTTTTAATCTGGGACTTAATTATATATCTGATTAACGAAAAAAAATTTACTTATCTCTTTACATAAAGTTAAATGACATAGTAACGACTCTATGAACAACAAGGCGGACGAGCTCACAAACGCGGGTGCGCATGTCAAAGATCTTATCATCGTTGACCACAAGTTTTTTTATCAAAAGAGTCTTGGACTGATCACATGGGATAATACTCATGTCATCGACTGAAATGTATGAAAATGGTCGAACAATGTTATTAACCCGTTGATTTTTAATTCTATGATCAATAATTCAGCATTATTACCAATCAAAACACAAATTATTAATGGAGACATCGACTGACTTTTACTCAAGAATGGTAATAGTAACCCTTTCGACTCTCCATGTAGCACTAAATTATCAAAAATACAAGGTTCCAAAATGAAAAAAAGTAACTTTATTTACCCAATATAGATATTCAACAACGAAATTACTGCCCATATCCGCCTGGAATTATCCCTTGCGTTGAATGCAACACGACTAAAGATAACAATGAACACGTTGGATTGCGTGCTTCTCACAATACCGTTATTTTACAATTGATCACAGACCATGAAGTAATCTTATTTAATTTGATCAAAGATGCGGTTGATACTCAAGATTATGGTCTTGAAGCTACTATTAGGGGATCAAGACTTTTTGACAAAAATTTGACCAATTCTTTACCAAAACATCATCCTTTTTATCTTTTAATTTACCATCATTTGATCCTGAGTGACCTCACATCTATTTTATACAATTATATTCTGAAAAAGAAAACACGTTTTCGTGTATTCATAGATTTTATGAATATCATTATGGAAAAAATCAATGCGTCCATTTGGAATCGTCGAAGTAAACTTTTGTAAAAATGGGAACACAATCTTGATATAACCAAGGTCAAAAAGAAATTTTTTAGGAAAAAATACAGATCTTATAAGGATCCAGAGACCTCGGACGAGGTTACTACTCAAGATAGAACACGACGTTCTAATACTTATCGACGAATTACAACCACCCCTTACTGTCGCAGTGGTGGATTTTTTAACAACAAAGCCCATATTAGGTGGACATCAAGTAATTTTTTACATTCGGGTTCTTGAGAAACCCCTAGATCTGTCTCTTATACACATCTAGATGTGTATAAGAGACAGCCCATAGAGATCGAATTTGGTTCGATAATATAGATTTATTCAATACTTTTTATTATAATATTATAGGAAATAACTTAGGTACTAGATAGTATTTTTATGTGCGCCTTTAGTGTAATTTTTTATTCTCTCCTTGTTTGCGGGTGAGTTCTGGGGTGGTCTTGGATCCCTGCCGTCTCTCGCTCTTTTTCAAGGTCAGAAATCATCGTCTACTTTGGTTTACCAGGTTTGCGATTTGGTTGTTAGTGATAGAATTATTGTTGGCTTAATGTATTTTCGTCCTTATAATTTGTACTACACTTTGTTTTTCTGTGTCATAAAAATAAAAATGAAATGAAAAAGTGACCCGGCCGGGTGAAGTGAACCGAAAATTGTACTTGTGTGGCCTAATAGACACCTCTTCCATCTCTTCATTTACACCACAGGTAAAGTATTATTATTATGAAATGACAATCTTCTCAAATAAGAATAAAAATAAGACAATAATTGCTATTGGTTTCGGTTTCGCCACAAAAAATCATTCAATTAACAGGTATCTATGTCTATAAATAATTTTCATATTTAAAGTAAGCAATTTCTAATTCTTTTTTTTTTTTTACTTTTAAGATTACCTGGTTGTGATAACACATTCAGTTGGATTTCATTCGGATGAAGGCACAATGAAAGGTATACAGGTTCAAAATAAGCTGAAAAGTGGCAAAAGTGGGTGATAAAATGATGTGATAGGCTGTGGTTATTACCCAGATATCGGACAAGTTTTCTTTACAGTGAATGGCTTTACAGTGAATGGTAAAAATTTTGGTATCGCTTATACACGTGGTGGCGCCCTACAGTTGGTTCTAATGGTGATTGTAGTTTAGTAATTAATTTTAGCCAAAAAGAATTTAAATATAAAGAAGCTAACGCTATTAGTGTTGCTGGTATATTAATGAAGATAAATATTAACCTATCTAAATATTCATCCTACCTTTTCAGTTTGTTATTTTTATGTCAATAATCTTCATAAAAATTTATTTGAAGTATTTCTCTATTGTATCCTTTAAAATTTTATTTATTTTTAGTTATTTTATTTTTACTTTAGAAAGGTGAATAGTATGGTCAAATTATACAATAAATTTCAGAGCTAATATAAAGAAACGTAAAATCTATTTAATAAAAATCTGACTAATAAAGTATATCTCATCAAGGACCCATCCTTCATTTTTATAAAATAAAAGAAAAGTTAAACATCAACTAACAGTGTTAGTATGATAGCTAAAAATAATATAAAAAACGAAGACAAAACATTTAAAAAGTAAAAATTAAAAGGAGCAGAATGCAAGCTTTAAAATTTTATTTAATTTTTTCTTTTTTTTTTAATTTCTTTATACAAACTATGATACACTAGATCTTTAGGAGTCAGCTCGAGTAAAACGAGTCAAGAATTTTTTCATTTGAAAAGTAAATTCGAGTCAGAACTTAACTCGAGTCAAAGCCATAGTGTGGGCAAAATTTTTTATAATTTTGGCCAACTCCGCACTATGGTCTTTTTCTAACGGTAATGCAAGCCAACTTTACGCAAATTCTGGCCAGCATTACTGATCACGTGCACTCAGGAAACTGCGAGTACTCCATCATGCAACACAGTAGTAATTCATTGACAAAATTTAGAAGAAATTATTCCGCCTAAAGTTAAAGCTACCATGTCAGTTTTCATTTTACGAATGATAAAGAAATCAATTAATGTTAAATTTATTCATGTTCAATATATATTTTATTTATAACAATAATTTTCGAAAGAATACGTCAAATAAATTTACCTTTCTTAGAAAATAATTATTTAATAAAGATTTGTATAAAGAAATTATTTGATTTCTAACTTTTCAATAATAATATCTGTCACAAAACTCTATGAAAAAAAAAAAAATATTCTAAAAAGCATCTAGAAATTGCCAAAAAGGTCCGAAAAAATGATAAAATATGCTATCTGGGATTTATTTCAGTGCAAATTCTAGATAAACCATATGTCCTGAATTTTTTCTGCTATTTAACAGATATTTTGTGGACAAATTCCAGACACAATTTTTCATAGGCTAAGGGATAACTCAAATTTTATTCTTCTAATCACGTACTAACATTATCCAATTCCACAATAATTGGTCCTACCGCAAAAAAGTTGGGTACTTTTTTTTTAATATCATATTCCATGAGTAACAAATATGTTAAATCTTTATTTTCTTTTTTTTTAATCTATTAGACAAATAAAGTAATATTTATAAAATAGATTAGAATTTGTTTTTGAAACATAGTCCGGTGTGTAACAAAGGATTAAGGTTACGCAATCTCATATCGTAAAACATATAATAACACTATTTTAAGTAACTCATAAGTGAAAGCATTATTACTATTTAAGTAAATTATAATGAAAGTAATTTCAAATAATAGTGTTTATTCAAAAATACAATATTGCTTTAATTAGTAATCTGTAGATAAGATTGTCCAACAGTACACAATAATACTTGTACATTGTACGATACAAATTCGTACAATTTTTCATATCTTTCGTAAATTAGTACAATTTTACAATTTCGTACATTTTGTATAACCATAATTTCGATGTAATAAAAAATTTTTATTCAAAAAAACTTTATTTAACTCATAATTCAAAAATAAATTGTACAGTCGTAGTATTAATACCGATATTTTATTTATAAACAAATTCAAATAAATAAGATATTAATAAAAATATAATTATATCTGTTATAAAAAAATATTAATGTCAAGTACAATACTATAATTACAAAATTTTCCGCAGTAAAATCTAGACTTTATCATCGACTTTATTGTCTTTATTGTCTTCTAATAATAAATTCAAAAAATCCGTATTAAGATAATATTCTTCAAGCAAATTTTCGATACTTTGAACACGTTCTTCCAAAGTAAAATTTTTAGTTCTTCCACTAACGAATGGAATTGGTTCGTATTTACTTTTAAGTTTCCTTATAAGTCTTCTTCGATATCTTGTACATAGGCAATTAAACACATGTGTTTGTAAAAATCCCCTATAGAGAGAAATAAAGGATTACGAATATTGTTATATTTACGAATTATATATAATTATTTAACTCACCATGGTGCTAATTTAGATGCTCCAAATAAAAATACAAAGATTCCAGATAAAAAACCAAAGAATCCACCAATATTCGATGTAATCGAATTAACTTAAAAAGCAATAAATATTTTATTAATAGTTAAATAAATTCATTTTCTCAAAAATTAAAATGAGTTGATAATTACAATCATAATAAGATTCTTCTTGATAGTAAATGCTCTTTGATGTTGGTCTTAATATAAGCGTTGTTTTATCTGGAGTCGTTGAAGTTGTTGCATGATCCATATGTGCATTAAAGTCGACATATTCATCCTTCTCTCCACCCGCAAGGCCATATACATACTTATTGTTAGTTATTTGCTTTATAATTGTAGGTGAAAAATATACGAAATTAGTTTGTCCATTTACGTAATGTAATAAAACAGCAGATTTATCAAATAAAAAAAATTCGGTCATATAAGTTTTATTATTCATTTGAATTCCATATAAATATAAATAACCTGCAGTAATATTTATAGGAGTTACTTCTATTATTATCTCATTTTGAAAATCAAGAGAATATGAAGAACATGTAGTATTGTCGTCATCTTTAAGACTAAATTCATGATCACATTTTTTTTCGTCGTTAATTTCTTTGTAGTTGCAATTTAAAGTTGAACCACAAAGAAATATGGACATAGTGGTGATATTTGTGTCTTTATCCATACGTTGTTTACTGATAATAAGATTTGGTTTAGAAATCGATTCAGAAAATTGTGAAAACTGACCATAAGTATAGAAAATAAGTATGATTATAAATAAAAAAGAGCATATTTTCTTTAAAATAATAAAAGAAAAAGGTTCAGTTGATTGTTTGTTTTCTGCAATCATTTTTGAATTAAAATAAAAAAAGAACTGACTGATGGGTTATATAACTGTCACGTTTAGATTGCCTAATATAAAATAATTAAATTGTGCGATGCTCCTGCATCGAATATTAATTTTATTAGTCTTCGTGTATCCTTCATACGGATAAACGAAGTATATTTTATTTTCAGATATTATTCATTTTATATAGTAGGTAATTAGAGTATATCCGGTCGATTGTACAATTGTAGATACTTTATCATTTCATGGATAATCCGAAATCTCGATTTTTTTTTTTTAAACAACACCATTAATTATGCGTTCAAACCTCTCAGATTTGTTACTTCACACCTTGTTTGGGTATTAGAATTTTTTAGGAAATAAAAATATTATTATTTTTTTTAAATAGTAAGCGTATGAGATCAATGAAATATATTGAGAAATATCTATTTTTAAAAATTTAAATTTTTCTTAATAAAAAACAAATTTTATAATCTATAAATATTAAAATACAAAAATATTAGACTTATAAAACTTAAATACCAAATATGAGAGTTTACAGCATAATATGTATTATTCGTCCTATCCGCGAGTAAAATGGATACGGATTGTCCGTCTATTTTTTTTTTTTAACTATTCGTATCCAAACCGAAGGTTGGAACCGACCGAATTTTTCGCGTACTATCACAAAATATAGAAATTTTGTAAAATATTTAATAAAAACATATAAATTTATTTTCTAAATTTAAGAAATAAAAATTTATTAGCTTAATATATACAAAGCTCTTCTCGGACTTAGTTTGCTGCTGCTGACTACTAGTTGTTGATTCAAAAAATGATGACCTTTTAGAAATTGTAGTGGAAAATATACAGTAAGCTTTGACGACTCAGATAAAGATTCTTCAATACTTTCAACATTCATATAGTCAATATATCCAGAAAAATCATAATTCAGTTCGTTATCATCCATGCTAAATAGCCACGTTTAATAAATTTTTATAAAATTAATTTAAATTTTTTTGTAACTTAACTAAATTCGTTAAACGTTTATCAAAATAAATGATTAATTAATCGATTAAATTATTCGGTTAAATTATTCGATTAACCGATTTTTGAGGTACCTTAATCGGTTAACCGACTTAATCGATTCCAACCTCTACCGGCATGTAGTAAATAAACATTTATTGGTTTTGTGATTTTGTGATACGTGATATCATCGAGTTGTCTATACCGTATATACTGTATATAAAACGGCTAATACAATTTTTGAGATGCACATTTTTAAAATGTTGAAAATTGGAAAATTATTAAATTTTTTATTTATTTTTATAATTATCTCCGAAATTATTTTTCTTTTTATTTACTCTTTCTTTCTTGTAAACGCTAAATTTTCATTATGGTCCACACTTCCATTCGTTTTTTTAAGTGGCTTATTTGCGGTCTTTTATAAAACCGGGATACATTTTATGGCATTCTTAATAATAAACTTTGCTCCATTTATATTAATGCTTTGTAATATTTTTAAATTTGATTATTTTTATGGTAAATATATTTAATATTAAATATTAATTTTGAATAAAAACAAAATTGAATTACTAATTTCATATCTTTTTGCTGCATGATAAGCTCTCAGCCTCCCCGTTTTGAAAAATTTAATTGACGAAGTATTTGATAGTAAGCTTGAAACACAACAATTCTTAAATACAGAAGATTATTTGAATAAGATTTATGTACTTAAATATATTCCTGTGGTGGTAACTTTGGGAATTTACCAATTTATTTTTATTGTGCTTTGTATTTTATTATTAAGGACTGGGTATATTATTTGTTTACTTTTTTTTATTGAATGGTTATAAAAAATAAATGGTGCTATATTGTTAATACAACCGGTAAATCATCGGCAATTTTGTTAGGTCTTGGAAATGGATTGGGAAGTCTAAATTGGATAATAACAAAAAAAGTATGTTATTTTTATAAATTAAATCCTTTTTAATCCTATTGCCACATTAATTTATTTCTATTAGACATCCATATTTTATTTCAACTTGAGGAAATTTTACTTCTAATTACGACTTCGTTTCTTGGAATTTGGATATTAATATCAGAAATACATGAGATTTTACCAATCGGACTTAATAAATATTATGAGAAAACTTCATTCGAAAGTAATCTTGAAATTTTTTATAATATATTTGGAATTATTACTATTATACCAATTTCAATTGTTTTCGTAGCGATACGAAAACGTTCAAAAAGTCTATGTATCTTATTCAATATTGCAAGTCTAATTGAGATAGCCATTATACTTAGTAGGTTACTATGGAGTTTTTGCAAAAATTATTCTGCTGCTGATGGTAATTAATAATTTTAAAACAACTTTTTTCAATGACTTTAATATAATTCTAATCATATTAATTAATACATTCTAGATATACCAATCAGCGATTTCATTGATATCATTAAAAATGATATTACATATAGAGAGAGGTTTTTTATTGGTAAATATATATATTCCATTAAATTACAGTATTGGTATTAAAATTAAATTAATATATTTAACATATTATATATATACTCGTTAGCCATACCTACATTGATTTTTCTAGTAATTTTAAATATTAATACATACTTATGTTATAAACGAGTTGATAATAAATTTATTTCACAAAGTAAGTGAATAAAAAATGCATTTATTATTATTTTTTTTTTACAAACTAACTTAATTATTTTAGTGTATGGATCCGAAAATAAGCTGATTCTTATACAAGACTTTAAAGAGTTTATAAAAGAAGTTTTTGAAACATTTTTAATACTTTTAGAAAAAGAAAAAAAATCAGAGTCATATGAACATTTGAAAAAATTAAATGTTAATGCATGGAAATTTACAACTGAATCAAGAATTTTACTATTAAATATTGTAAGCATTAATGAGAACATTGTAAGTGCCGATAATGAGATCGGAAACGTTGATAATGACGAAGTCGATGAGATTAAAAACATTTATATTGAGAATATAGGCGTCGAACACGACAACAATATCTCAAAAAAAGACCATGAAATTTATTTTAACGCTAAATCTGATGTAATGATGCAAACAAATTATCCTTTACTCAATGTAAACGATGTATCACGGGATACTATTGCTTTGAATATGAGTAAGGCCTACTAATATCACCATCATGATTGCATCTTTTTATGCAAATCTAATTTACTTTCCTCTACCATCTAAAACATAATAAACTAGATACTGTCATCTCCTCTCAACTTTCACCATCGGAAGAATATTGGTTTCTTTCATCTCCTTCATCACAAATAAAATATTGGTTTTATTACTATGAAATAACAATTTTATCCAATCCAAATAATGATAAAACAATAATTGCCATGGGCCTTGCCACAAAAAAATATCCACTTAACAGGTATGTATTACAATACGAAAATATTCATACTTAGACTATACAAGTTTTAATCCTTTGCTTTTTCTTTTACCTTTAAGATTACCTGGATGCAATACACATTCAGTTGGATTTCATTCAGATGAGGGTAGGATATTCCGTAATGAAAAGTATAGTGGGTCAAAATATGCTGAAAAATGGGGTGAGATAAATAATGTAGTAGGTTGCGGCTATTGCCCAAAAACTGGGCAAGTCTTCTTTACGATGAATGGCAATTATTTAGGAATTGCATATACCAGTCTATCTCATAATTGGTATCCTACAATTGGTTCTAATGGTGTTTGTAGTTTAAAAGTTAATTTTGGTCAAAAAGAATTTAAATATAAAGAAGCTAATGGTATGAGCGTTGCCGGTATCATCTCCCAAGAGTTATTAAATATGATAGATGAACATACTAAGATAAATATTAATCCTTAAAATATTTACCATTTTGAATATTTTGATTATCTCTACTGTAAAAATTTTTTATTTCTAAATTTTTTTCTATTTTCACTTTGATTTTGCTTATTATTATAAATAAATACACTTTGTTTATTCTTAACAATCTAATATGAATGTTGCTAATTTGTACTTGATTGAAATTTCAACCGTAACAAAAAAATTTTAATAAATTTAATAACGCTTTACGCTTGTATTATAATCCCGTACATCATATAGGTAAGGTTCACTTGATTTACAGCTTTTTGATAACCACTAAAATCAAAATAATTGACTAAAGATAAAAGTAACGGCAAGAAGAATCAAAACAAACAAAGACAACGCAATCACGATCACTCTAATAACATCTGCCGCAGTAGATGTCGGCTTCCCATACAATAAAATGAATCCTAGGCTCAGTGACAAAGCTTACATTAGATGGACTTCTAGTAATTTTTTACATTCAGGAACTTAGGAATTACATAGAGATAATCCACTTTTTAATGATATAAATATTGCTTTAATTTTTTATAATTTTCCTTTTAATATTAGACCCGGTTCGTAGTGCTCTTTTTATCTTTTACTTTCCGCAGCCATTTTTACTCTAGTGCGTGGTGAGCAGGATGTGCTTAGCACTTCCCTCCACGGGATCATTTTCGACACCAGGGTGGTACTGTCAGACTTGGAGGTTTGGTTTACAATTTAATTTAGAATTACTTTAGGCTTACGTATAGTTCGTCCCTGTAATTTGTATCATGATTTTGTTCACATGGAATTTAAAAATAAAAATAAAATGACTAAAGATAAAAATATGCAAGATCAGCCCCAAAGAAAATTAAATAAATAATATCGGAGCAAGATATATAAGATTGGAACAAATAAAAAGCCAAAGTCAAAATTAAATGAGATCAAAAATAACCAAAGATAAAAACATATAAGATCAGAGTAAATGAGAACCGTGAGGTCGCGCCTGTTTAGGCGACTGAGATGCCTGAACGTGACGGGTGCGCCTTGATTAAGGCGCATAAGCGCTGCAGATGCGCCTTGGTTTATGCGCCTGGAACAGGCACGACCTGCCGCAAAAATGCGGCAAACTTTTGTCATGGATGGCTTGTCGTAGTATCTAGTATGCATATGGTTACATCCCCGCCACAGGGTTACCTCAACAATGCAATGTTCAATAATACTTAATATAATCCTATAACCTATAAAACACTAATAAGCAAATTAAAATAATTTCAATAATGGTGTTTATTCAATAATACAATAATGCTTTTATAATTAGTCCGTGAACACGATATTCAAGAAATTTATACCGCAGAGAAAATTCTAGACTTTATCATCGACTTTAAATCTCATCTAATAAATTCAAAAATCCGTATTAATATTCTTCAATAAAATTTGATACTTTCTTTCAAAGTAGGATTTTAGTTCTAGAAATTGGTCCTACTTACTTTTAAGCTTCTTTTATGAATTTTCTTCGATACTTTGTATTAGCCAGGTAATTAAACAAAATTTCCCTAATTGTATAGTTATAAATTGCAAATAATTATTTAACTCACCATGGTGCTAATTTAATGTTTTAAATAATAATCAAAGATTCCAGATAAATAACTAAAGAATCCATGCAAACTAAGATAGAGGGTGAAGCTTTTAAGAAAAATTAAAATTAAAGCTATAATTATTTTCCCATTTCTCTAAAATTAAATGTTAAAATTTGATAATTACAACTATGGTAACATTCCTCTTTATAATAAATATCTGTTGATGTGGGTCATAATATAAGTGTTATTGTATTTGTTGTTAAAGTTGTTATCTGCATGTACATTAAAGTCAATGAATTCCTCTTTTTCACTCTAAAATCGCTAACTATATGTTTACTAATTGTAATTAAATAATATATGAACACAGTTTGTTTACTCGTTAGAAATAAAGAATTAAGATCAGTGTTGTAAATAAATTAAAAGTCGACATCAGCCCATCTAAATAAGCTTCAGTAGCGAAAAATCACTGTTCCGTTCTGTTCCAACGGATCAAAAAAATTGATGATCCAAATGTTCCGAAGTCTGAACACGCAATGTGCGCTTGGTTTTTTAATTGACGTGATTGGTTGGGACTTGGGAGCAAACGGAATAGATCAAATGCGATTTTTCTGCTAGCTAAAAAAAATATGCAAAAATCGGCACAGAACGGAACAGAACAGAAATGAACAGGGCTACAGTATTATCTTTGTCAATCCACGATAGTAAAAAGCATAACGAATGGTATCACCATTTTCACGTTAGGATAATAATCATTATATTCCTTAATTCGCATTCATTATCATTATTGTACAAGCTGTATACTGTACTACCCACAATTCTTACAATAATCATCTTTTAAGATTGAGCTTATCAAATGGATCAAAAAATAATGAAATCTGGTTATAAGTATAAGCAAGGAATGTGATTAAACTTTAAAATATAAAGAACATAATTTCTTTGAAAAAGATTAGAGAAAAAGGTTCAGTTGATGATTTGTTTTTCGTGATTATCATTTTGAAACAAAAAAAAAAAATGAATTGTTTGACATTATTTACCGTATTTCTGTATTTGTAGTATTTGTGGTTCAGTGATCCCTTGTTACCATCTGGTGATTCTGGTGATTATGTGATATGTGATATCATCGAGTTGTCCATAATCATATATAATTAGGAGTGTTTGTTAAATTTTTTATTCTTATTTTTATCTTTTTATCCTACAATCTGACCAGGACTACATTTCTATATGATTCTTTTTTGACTGGCTTGTCTGCGGTCTTATATAAAACAACAATGCATTTTATGGCATTTTTTTCTCTAATCGTGAATAGCGTTTTGTAATATCTTCAAATGAGATTACTTGGATGGTAAATATTTAACATTGCATATTTCTAATTATGGTTTGTAAGTGAAAAACGGTTTATTTAATTTTAACTTACGTTTTTAATTAGTGTTGGTCGCCGTAAGGTTGTGACGTATTTGCCGTACTAACTAATATGTCACGTGACCCGAATAATAACTAAGTGATCGACCCGGCATTAACGAACTTGGCTGAAATCAATTATAATTACAACTTAACGTAATGCGGCATTTTCGTAATTTTGAGTCGTAATCCAAAACCTGGGGTAGAAAGTCCAAATCGTAATCCGAAATGGCGTAATTATTACTTACGGCGACCAACCTTATTTTTAATAATATCAAGAATTTAAATAAATTGAATATTGCAGAAAATATTGAAGAATTATTAAAAACATTCAATAAAATTAAACGAAAATATTATATATCTTAACATATGCCAATGGCGATAATATTAGGAAATATTTCAATTTATTTTTATAATATTTGTATTTTATTATTAAAGGTAATTTGTAATATATAGTATTGATAAATAATTTTTTTATAAAAAGTTTTAAATTAAAATGACGAAAAGAAGGTATTATCATCTTTGTTCGTTTAATAAAAATCTCTTTAATTTCATTATTAGATTATTTGTCTGCCGTTATACTTTTATTAGATGTCCATATTATTCATCAACTGGATATTACTTCAAATTATAACTTCATTTATATCTTTACAATGTGATGACAAAAGCAACTTAGTTATATCTTTCGGTATAATTTTATTACTATTATTATAATTATTCCAATTTATATGTATTGTTCTTATAGCGATACGAAAATGTTCAAAAATTTTATATGTTCTATTTTATTTTATAGGCTTATCTTAATTGGATGATTATATATAGAAGAATATATTACTTTTCGCGACTGTGGATGGTAATTAGTAATTTTTTTAACCAGCTTTATCAAATGATTTTATATATTAACTACATTTAATATTCAGTATTCCTAACATATACTAGGATTCAATATTACTGATAACATTATATTTAGAGAACATCTTGCTATCGGTAAGCAAATTCTATTTTGAATGGTATTTTAAAATCAAGTTTACATACTAATATATTGTATATACGGTATATAATTTACAATTAGCTATACCCAAGGTCACTTGTTCATCTATTTTAGTATCTTTTAGTATATAATTCAGAAAATAAAAAGATTCTAATAGAAATCTCTCCTAAGAAAATTTCTTAAAAAATTTAATTAGCGCTTAAATCGGAGGTAAAAAAATTAAATGTCAAATAAAACCTGGATTTTACAGTTAATATAGTAAACATTAATGACGAAAATTTTAAGCATTGACAATAAAGAAAATGAGATGGGAAACATCAATGACAGTGAAAATGTTGATAAAGATCCTGGCGGCGAGAGGTTATTGCGTGACTATTAATGCTTGAACTTTCTCGTTAACAAATTCTATCAATATCGCCGAAGAATATTTCTGAGTAGGTTATGCATGACTTTGAACTTGTAAAAAAGGATTTGAGCCAGATTATTGATATAGTGTTAAAATTCCTTTTGATACTAAATCAGATATCATGGTGCAAACAAATTACCCTTTAGTTAATGATACCATTTGATGCTATTGCTTTGAATACGAGTAAGAACTTTTAATGTCAAATTCCGCTGTTCTTGACTTTTTTATTGTACAAAATTAAATTTAGTTCCTTACTTATAGATGCTACTATTTCTTCTCAATCTTCGTCTCCTTCGCCATCGGAAGAATGTTGGTTTCTCTCATCTCCTCTATCACAAGTAAAATTTTATGAAATAACAATTTTGTCAAATCCGTATAATGATAAATATTCTTACAAGTGATTTTTAAACTTTTTTCTTAGATTATACCTGAATGCAATCCACGTTCAGTAGGATTTCGTACGATGAAGATAAAATGAAAAGTATACTGGATCAAATATACCGACAGATGGGGCGACGTAAATACTCTTACAATTCTTACGATGAATGTTATTGCTAATACCGGCCTATTTTATAATTGGTATCCTACAATCCTACAATCGGTTCTAATGGTATTTATAACTTAAAAGTTATTATTTTTGGTCAAAAGAAATTTAAGTATAAAGAATCTAATGATATGCTTCATCCGGGATTTAACAATGTAATGCAGTTACGTTCTAAGTTAATACCCCCTTTGGTAAAAACGTTGATAAATGGACCAGTTTCCCAAAGCTAAGTTAGAGGCCAAATCCGCACCAGCATTCAGAATGCAGAAAGGGTTCGCATATCCTTTGCTGATGATGTCGAAGAAGATATTTGTATTATTGATTTGATCCAACCAGCAATGGTGTCTGATGCGGCTAATGAATAGGGTGAATAGGGTTCTCTGGTAATTGGGATAATGACCTTTTCTTTTCATCCAAAGGATGTTCACGTGCATTTCTAAATTGATGCTTATCACGCCATAGGTTTGTTCGATCCAATAAAGTTATTAAATGTATTGTACGGACAAAGATCTTCATAGATCTTTTTACATGGGTGACCTTTTACGATGTCGTATTGTTGTATTCCTTTGGTTTAATGCACTCCGGAAGTTGTTACTAATGCCAATAGAAAAGCAGAAAAACAAGTGTTTTAAAAGTGGGAATAAAATATTTGTTTTATGGCAACAATAATCAAATAAAGTTGGATAATGTAAATAAAAATACTTAATTTTTTTATTGAATAAAATTTTTTTTTAGCTAAAAAAACTTATTAAATTCAATATAATGAAATGACTTATATATTTACTATGATATAATTTACAGGGAATCCTATTTTTTAATTACATAATTATCATTCTTTTTTATAATCTACATCCTCTACGTATAAATCAAACATATTTACTTTCTCAACTTGAAATACTTCATAATCATCAATATCAAAATAATTTTTTGGTATATTAACATTAGAGTAAGTATTTGGATAAGAACTCCAATCACCATTTTGATCCATACTTAAATCACATCTACCTTTCTTATATTTTCCAAAAATTGGACCCCATTCTGGATCACTTATTACAGCACCACGAAATTTATTATTATTTATTCTACCAATTTTACCAGTATTAATATTTTTATAATCACCAAATGAAAATATAAAACTATCAGAAGTATTTTTCCAACCAAATCTATTCCAATCAAGTGGATTATAACCTCCAACTATTTGATCCGAATTTTTAATTTTTATAATTATAATATTTGCTCCTTTATTATCACATTTATTATGAAATGTTATAGGATCAAATCCATCCCTACTACCACGTAAAATAAGATTAAATTTATAATTAAATAAATATTTAGAATTTCTTTCTTTTCTATCAATCCAATTCGCAAAAAGTGTAGTATGTTTTTGATAAATTAAAACAGAATCAATTTTACATCTTGGTGTATATGTATCAAATGTTGGTTCATATTCGGGAACCGTATGAAATTTTAAAATATCTTCTCTTAATTCTTTAGGTAAAATTTGTTCAAAAGGTTTAATCTTTGTAAAATAATCATCAGTAGATATATCATAAAATCCAATCAAAGGTATAAATTTACGAAGGTTTCTTTCAAGATTATTAAAAGTTTCACGATTCCATTCAGAAATGTCATCATAAAGGATATTATTATTATCTTGTGATAATCCCCATTTAATTAAAATTTCCCAAATCTCAATTTCATCTAAATTTAAATCATCTTGTTTTAAAATAATTTCCAATAAAGAAGAAGGTAAATGAATAAATTCATCAGAATTAAATAAGATATATGGTTTAAAACAGATCATATCTAAACAAAATTTTTGTATTTTATTAAAGGTATTAAGATGATGAACCCTTTGAAGTATTTCAACTGAATCATATTGTAAGAATTTTTGATGATTTTTAATAAGAAAATTTTCTCCAATTTGAATTAATTCATTTAATTTTAAATCAACTGAAACAATAATAATATTTAAAATTTCATTTCCAGTTTTATTATTTAAATTAATTTTTCCCTTAGAAAGATACCTATTAAAGTGAATAAAAAAATTTTTTTTTTTTAAGATTCTTTTTTTTTTATTTTTTTAAAAAAATTTAAACCATAAACATATAATAATAAAATAAATATTTACTTGATAATAACATCAAAAATTTGTGGTGTAATATTTGGTTTCTTAATTAAATGTTTCTCATCTTTCTTTTCAATATCTTTAATAGAAAGTATTTCGTCAAAATAATCGGATTTTTTACGTAAAGTTTTAGAATCGGCATGAAATTCCTTAAAATTTGGTTCTTTTCCAACATGAATAATAACATCATATTTTGTATTAGTTTTATTTAATTTTTTGAATACTTTTATAAGCGACATTTTTTTTTTTTATTTTATTTTCAATTATTTTGTGAAGAAAAAAAAAAAAAAAAAAAAATTTAGAACGAAAGTTTAATTTATAGAATTATTTGTTACACTTGCTCAATTGCTGTACTATGATCTGCTTAGTTCAGTAAATAGAATTCTATATTTGTATTAATAAAGACAAATTACGCCCTTATCTACTGCGGCATAAACGCATAAACGTTAATGTAACAATATTATAAAGATAAAAATAACAACAACATGTATTAAAATTGTTTCATCTTAATCTTCTTTTATAGTTATTATATAAAATTCTAAAAAAAGGTGAGCTAGCTCGATAAGCAGCCGAGCTCCGATCCGGGCTCCGGGCCGAGCTCCGCGAATCAGTATTCGAGTTGCACATCATTTCACCGCAGCTCGATTTTTTGCGTTCAAACCACCGTCCGAGTCTGATATTTAATGTATTTAATGCAACATAATTATCGTATTATCACAAAAATATGGTTAAAACTTTTAATATAAAATTACTGACATTTAATATTTACTACTATCAAAGATGCTTAAAAAATTTTTTGACTTTTGAAAATTTTTATAATTGTCAATATATCAAAATAAATTCTTAGGATATTAATATCAAAAATGAAAAATTTGTATAAAAATTTTTAACTTACCATTTCATTATATCAACATAATTGTTTTATTAATTTTAGTTTTAGCTTAAATGTTTAATTCAATATTTTTTTTATAAACACTAAAATGAAAATATAAAGTTATCTATTTTACGAATTACTCTAACCATATTTTAATATACTATATAACTGAACAATGAAATTTAAAATATGTCAGATCTTCGATAAGCAGAAAATGGATTTAGACCGGATAACTAATATGCAATATGATATTCTAGGATTCGTTTAGTTAAAAACACAAACAAATAAAAATTTTTGTAACTAAAATTGACAATCATATCCTGAAATGCATGATTTTGATGACAATCATACCTTGAATTGAAAAAATTTGGCGTATTTTTAATATTTTTATAGATTAACCATAATTCCCAATTTGGATGGACGAAAAAAAAACCTCGCAGATAATTTTATATATTGTTAAAAAGTATGAGTGAAACTAACGTTTTTTAATTTTTTTTTTTCATTAAAAATATTAGAAGTGGGAATCACCTTCCATTTTTGATCTAATTTTTTTTCTCTTTTTCGTAATAATGAAGTTATTTTTGAATAATTCAAAAAAATTTTTCTTGGAAATCACCCTCCATTTTTTCTCTTTTTGTAATAGTGAAGTTTTTTTTTTAGAAAATTCAAAAAAATTTTTTAAGAAATCACATTATATTTTTGATCTAGATTTTTTTTCTTTTCGTAATGATGAAGTTTTTTTTGGGGGGGTTTTTTTTTTGAACCTATAATTGTTTATGAAAACTCAAATTTGATTGACTTTATTATTTCGATTGTTATTTATAAATTCTATCATATTGTATTGTACCTTTATTAATAATAAAATTACAAAAAAAAAAAATATAAGTAAAAAATTATAAAACCTAAACTTTTGACTTTAATCTGAAATTACACATTTTTTAAAAAATATTTCACGTATAGATACAGCAAATTTTGTAGTAAATGGAGGCTCACAAAATGACATTAACCTGTGCTACTGTTTCTTTGGATACTTTTATATTTACGTATTGTCGATCATATGTTGCAGGGAGCAAAATAATAAATCAACTTGTTAAAATTTTAATATTTTTACTATAAATTCCCTGATTTGGCATGACGAATCACGTGATTATATAACCTTAATTTTGGCCGGAACTATAAAATATTTAATTCTGGTAAAAGACAAATGGATGTTTCACGTGATTTATAGCAATCTAAATTTAAATAAAAATTTTGGTACATTTTAATTTATACCTCCAATGAGGGCTTTCTACGTAAGGTTATAGAATTCGCTTAAAAATCTGGTTTCTTAAATGTAAGTTAATAGATGACGACATGAATTGGTCACGTTATAATTAAAAATCACGTGACTATATTGTTATTTATTTTCTTTTTTCTATTTATACGAATGTATAATTATTAATTTTATTATTAGGTTGAATTTATTACAGTAGCCATTCGATTTCTGCATTTGTGATAGATAGATTTTAGTTAAATTCAGTAGTCAATCGTGATTTATTCGATGGTAACATTTATAATTTTCACTTCCTTGCACTTATTCTGAATATTAATCAATAGCCATTTTGATTATTTTTAGTAAAATACATTAAACAATATAATTTATTTTCTGTGGTCATAAATTGATTTTATTTACATGATTTATTTCATTTATTTCTCCTTTTCTTGTAGATCTTAGCGATATACAGAATGGTACAAGTCCGTGACTATCCGTGTTTTTCATCTCGGGAACTTTTTTTACAAGGTGTGAAATACTTGTGAAATCAATTAATTAATGCCGTAATGCCGGGCAAAAGTCCTAGACTTCTAAAACAATAGGATCATCGAATTCGTATTAAATTACCTGTAAAGGAATATAAAAAAAACCATTATTATACTTTTATAGTGATGAATTATAAATCAAATCAAATCAATTGTGAAACATGATAAATTTATCTTAAATAGATTTATTTTATTCTAGCAGATTCCAAACGATAAATTATTTAGAATAATTATTAATACTTTTTATTTATTGTTGGAAAAAATAAAATTTAGATTATCTGATAAATAAGAAAATTTCATGATTATGGCATTTGGCGTTCCAAACTGCATATTTTATTTTTTATTAAATCAGGTACCTTTTATCAAAGAAAGATTCATCAAATATGAACAAATTCAGATAAAAAAAATCAAAATTATTTTTTTTTCGAAAATGTCGAACATTTTTAAACATTTTATTTTTAAATATGACTAAATAGCTTGTTTAATTTTGTAAATATCAATATAACAGATGGTGATATTGGAAAGATTTTTATTAATACGTCATGTATTACAAAATTCCATATATTACAAAATTCCATATACTCACTATCTCACCATCTACTAATACAAAAATTGCTAATTCAGAATGCGATTTATAATATAAAAAAGTTAAATTTGACTTTTTTCAATCACAATAGCTAATAGAGCTAATAGATAACAATTGTTGTCGCGATGCTGTTTACGCGTTCAAAGTATAACCGAAAATTTGCGTAACAGTAATTCTAATATAAATACTCCCACAAATCAATTAATACATAATCATAATTTTTTTCAAATTCTTTTCAACAAATTCTTTTCAACTTTCAACTTTTTACTCAAACTTTTTTTTTATTTTTATTCGTGTATATTCAAATTTCTCACCTCTATATTGAATAAAAGTTTTTTCTTGTGTTCAATATGTTCAATATGTGTAAGTATAAAATTATTGAGGAAGTGTAGGTGATAAATTCTGGGAAGAGGAATTCGTTATATTCCTTCCTTTATCATAGAAAGCAAAACGTTTTGATGGGAGTGAACAAAGAACAACTAACAGAAAGTGTACACTCTATAATGGAAACAATGAATTTTGACGTTGGTAATTATCATATTCTAAAGGGGCAAGACAGTGAGTAAGTATTTTTTTCCATTGGTTAGAGTTCCTTTAATACCACATTAATGATCGATTTTTTTTTAGTTTTGTTTGGACATATACATCTGGAAAGTGAGGATAGTGCGGGAACTTTTACAACAAAGTGCAAAATCAAGACTTTGTTTTGAACAATATAAAGTTAAATTTTTTATCATCAAAACTAACTGGGTCAGCAGCTCCAACCGTTTAAGAAATCAGGAATGAAACATCAACTTTAACAGCTTCAAATCATCCATCAAAGAACTTATTTCCGATCATTCATTATCACCGACCGTCCGATCATCCATCTTCAGGACAAGCTTCTGATCATTCACAAGCCTTCAAAGTTCAAACAGACAGCTTCAGAATTGAAGTCCAATGACTTGAAGCTCATTTTCAAATATCTACAACTTATAATTTCGTAAAATTGCTTGCAGCAACGTAAACATCAAAATAGGTATTTTTTGCAACAAAATTAAATAAAATAAAATGTAATCGAACCTTTTATAACATTTGTTATTAATAATTAATAATTATTGCATATAAAAATCCCAAATTTTAATAAAGAATACTCTTAGAATTTGATGAATTTTACTGTTAAAAAAAAATTTAGAAAAAATTTAATTAAAACGCCAATATTTATCCTAAATAGGAAGCTAAGACCTTAAAAAATAATTTATCAATATTAAATGATATTTAGATCACCCCTTATAAGTTAATTTGAATTGGGTAACGAGAAATTATCGCTAGAATGATTTGATCGTATGAAGAATTTCGATCCCGGTTCGAAGCAACGGGCTGCTGTTGCTAGTATTTAAAATATAAAAAATCACATAAATCAAAAATTATTGACCTACCTTTTCTGTGCGATTTGGGTTCTGTCATTAAGAGTTTTAGAACGCTATACAAAATCCTACATTTTTATAATAACAATAAGTTTAAGTGAATTTTAATTTTATACACGAAAAACTTGTTTAAGTATCTTCTCATAAAATGATCTACAAATCTGTGTTACAAAATCATTTGCGAATCTTTTTTATTTCAAAGTCATATCCGATTCTAAAAAAAGTTCAATCTTCCCTTTTCACATGTTTTTTTCCTTTCCCTTCACTTGCTTTTTCTCTTCGTTCTTTCATTTTCCTTTCCTTCATTTTTCCCTTCCTTCGTTTTCTCTCCTCGTACTTTATTTAAAAAGAGCTGCAAAAAAAATAAAATTCAATACTCTATAACAAATATTTATAGCATTTCGATTTTTTTTTCATTTATTTTAATGAATATTTCTAATTATTCATTTTCTTTCTTTTTATTAGGTATTTTTTCGAGTAACTGAATGTGGAAATGGATAAGTAAAATAGGTGTTTTTCGAGTCTCTAATGGGAAATGGAAATGGGTAAGTAAAAAAAGACTAAATTTTTTTATATTTTAACGAACA